TTTCCATCACGAGGACAAGAGGTCTAGATTTCCAAGGTTGGATTGATGTCCATCTACATCATCGATCCACGAGCTATCATCTCATTTGTCCTGATTATCCTTGACCAAAATCTAGTTGGGGCTGTGTCCAAGTCAGCAGGGAGCAGTACCATGGGATTCTGCAGCTTTATCTCGAGGACCTACCTAGGTATGCATATATGAGGCTGTTTCATATTAAAAAACCTGATAGAGTCTTATGATGTTAAGATCGCCAGGTACAAGTCATTTTCTGACCGATTGGCTGACTGAACCTGCCCAGGTAGGATTGCATCGGCGGGTGTACAATCATTTTAAACACCCGTGGACCGTTTTACGTATTTGGAGTATGTGAGGTATATATTAGGTACTTTAATCTGTCTTCATCGGTAAATCATATATATAACTAGTTATTATTACGTTCACCAAGCACTATAATAACACTCCCACGGGAATATTATCTCTGTCCTGTGGGGACCGTTTATTTCCCCCCAAAATCCGTCTTTATTTCTCCGAAGTCCCCGGGTCCCGGGATCCTCCTGAGTGATTTTCGTCCCCTCACGAGTGTGGGGGGATTGACACATACATGGAGTTCCAAGGTTACTGTATGGAGTAAGGTCGAGTATTACTGGAAAGAGATACATTGCCAGAATGTTGTAGTTAGTATATACGGAGTAGTGTAATTGGAAATCAAAGTACTCCTTATGGACAAGATAACTATGTTGTATACAAGATTGTACAAACCCCTGAGCCGAGACCTATCATGCAACAACCTTGGCCTTCCAGAAGGGTCTCCACAGTGCGTCTTTTTCCGTTGTATGACACACTGTTTCTAGTCGGGTGTAGCCAGTCGGAGGGTCAATCTGTTTATTTTGATTTTGTATTCTGTCTGTATTCTGTGTTTGTGTTTGTGTTTGTGTCTGTGTTACTGAAATAATATCGAATTTAATGGTTGTTGTTTAGATATAGATATAGTTATAGTTATAGCATGTGAACTAGAACGAGAAAGATACGGCAAGTCGTTCCCTCGGTATCTTGTGCGCCGAGGATATATAGAATACATATACCTAGGTATGTATATAGCTAAATAAATAGAAGAGACAGAAAGAATACTACAACTATACCAAAATACTACTCCGTACCTCACGATAATTCAATTACAAACGGAGTGCGCTGATTCCCCCCAAAACCCCACCCCCTCACTCCATCCGGTGAACGCAAGTAGGAATATCCCGTTTCGGTGTCAGATTCCGGGGAAAGAAAACTTACGTTGGGGAATTTCGGGTATAATTGTACCATGACTTCGATTCAATCCGCCAGAGATCGTCTTTCTTCTCTATCATCACACATCATGGGTTCCTCTAATCCTTCAGTATTTACCACGGCCAATGTGGCTGCCGCCCCCGAAGATCCTTTGTTTGGTCTTATGAAGGCCTATCGCGAAGACCCCTCCGATAAGAAGGTTGATCTGGGTATTGGTGCTTACCGCGACAACAACGCGAAGCCTTGGATTCTCCCGGTTGTCAAGAAGGTAATATCTATATTCTTCGCTTTTCTATCTCTATAATGCAGTTATCTAACCTCCATCTACAACATATAGGCCGATAACGCCATCCATAACGATCCCACCCTCAACCACGAATACCTCTCTATCGGTGGTCTCGCAGAGTTCACTTCCGCAGCCCAGAAACTGATCGTCGGCGCAGACAGCCCTGCAATTCGTGAAAAGCGAGTATGTACCTCTCTCTCTCCTCCCATCTCCCTTCCAATATCCCCCACCCTCACCCCGCCCTCAGTAACACAAACTAACCCACCCCCACTAGATCTGCTCCCTGCAAACAATCTCAGGCACCGGCGCCGTCCACCTCGGCGGCCTCTTCCTCTCTAAATTCCACCCCCAGAAGCCCGCAATCTACCTCTCAAACCCAACATGGGCCAACCACAACCAAATCTTCACAAACGTCGGCCTGACCCTAGCAAAGTACCCCTACTTCTCCGTCAAGACAAAAGGCCTTGACTTCACGGGCATGATGGCTGCCCTGGAAGCCGCACCACAAGGCTCCGTAATCCTCCTACACGCCTGCGCCCACAACCCAACAGGCGTCGATCCCACCGAAGACCAATGGAAGCAAATCGCAGAGCTAATGCGCTCCCGCTCGCACTTCCCCTTCTTCGACACCGCATACCAAGGCTTCGCCTCCGGCGACCTGGTCCGCGACTCCTGGGCCATCCGCTACTTCGTCGAGCAGGGCTTCGAGCTGTGCGTCGCGCAGTCCTTCGCTAAGAACTTCGGTCTGTACGGTGAGCGCACGGGCGCTTTCCACTTCGTCTCTGCTCCCGGTCCGGACGCGTCTGCTGCGTCCGCTCACATCGCTTCTCAGTTGGCTATTCTGCAGCGCTCGGAGATCTCTAACCCGCCCGCTTACGGTGCGCGTATTGCTAGTCGTGTCCTTAATGATCCCCAGCTGTTTAAGGAGTGGGAGGCGGATTTGCGGACGATGAGTGGTCGTATCTTGGAGATGAGACAGGGACTGCGGGAGCGTCTTGAGAAGCGGGGTACGCCTGGTTCGTGGGATCATATTACTTCTCAGATTGGAATGTTTAGTTTCACCGGCTTGTCGGAGGAGCAGGTTATGACGCTGCGCTCCAAGTGGCATGTCTACATGGTATGTTTTGACTTTCCTTTTTTCGTTGGTGTATTGGATTGGATTGCGCTAACTCTCTTTTTCCTACAGACAAAGAACGGCCGCATCTCAATGGCTGGCTTGAACACACATAACATTGACTACTTCGCCGAGGCGGTTGACAGTGTTGTTCGCGAGTCTGCTAAATTGTGATACCTACCTGATACCCCAGTCTTGACATAGAGTGGAAACACTTAGCGAGACTTGGTCTGGCGTTCTATTTGCTTTTTGAAAGCTTTTTTTTGGTGGAAGTTCGGAAGGACTTTCATTATGCAGCAATTTACCATATTCCGGGACTTTGGTCCTGATTTTGTATTTCTGAATCCTTCACTCCGTAGATAGTATATATCACATGTATCACAGGCAAATCGTGGACTAGCAATTGGCATTGAACTAGTGTCGGACTATTTTCTCAATGGTTTCTCTACAGCATGCCAATAGGGTTGATGCCTCGGATTCCCATTCATTTGGCCAGACCGGCCGTCCATAGTAAGATACAGCCTAACAGCCAGACGAAACAACTACGACATCCTAATTGAGGAAGATACCTTGAGACAATGTGCTATATTGTAATGAAATAGACATAATGGTATCTGGTATCGTATGAAAATGCCTTCCATAAAAGCATCTGAGATAAACCTGTCCAGCAGTATCGGGACTAAAAGACCAAATCCCAAACCACAAGCCAGGTACACAACCCAACAGTCCCCCAGAAGACAGCCTGCGCCGTACTCCGTCGCTCAGTAGCACGCTTCAACTCACGATTTCCCTGTCCGACATTTGTCTGCGTTGTATCCACATCCGAGACAAGCTGAGAAATATGTTCCTCCTGCGTAGCGAGGTGAGAGACAAGGGTTTCCTGCAAAGAAGAGATCTCAAGGAGGGATTTCTCAGCGTTTCTAAAAGCGCACTTATATCAGCATAATCCAAAAACCAATCCGAACGAAAGCCACGTCAAAATGAAGAAAGAAAAAAAAAAAAAAACATACTGGACCTTCCCCAACGTATCCTCATAATGCCTAAGCATAGAATCATTCTCCTCAGCAAAAAGCTGCAACTGCTCCGGGGAAAGCTGCGCCTCGATCCGCGCCGTATCCGCCTGACTCAGAACCGCCGCATCAGGCGCCTGGAAAGTAGCATCGAAGGAACCTGCACCCGCAACCCCAGCTCCAGCCCCAGTCCTGTCCGACACAGAAACAGACCCCTTCCGAGGCCCAGTGCCATTCCCACCGGTAGGTTTCCCCGCAGCGACCTTATAAAGCACACTCTTCTCCTTCTCCCGTACCCTCTCAATCCTCTTCTCAACCATCCGACGCTGCACACCAACGGCACTCTCAAGCCCGCGCCTCAGGAACCAAAGCACGCTCTCGCGGACAGTTGCTACCGACCGCGCGCTCTCCTCTGCCCGCATCTGTTCGGCGGATTTACCCTCGTTTTCTGCGCTGGCGCTGTCTAGTGCACCGCCCCCGCCGGCCCAGCGCCAGAGAAGGGCGCCGGCGGCGGAGTGGCCGTATTTCTTGTGGAGGAGGGTGGAGGATGTTTCTTGGCGGAGGGATTCTGCGGAAGAAAGGTTTGCGATTGAGGTTGCTAGGTCGCGGAGGAGGAGGGCGGTTGATGTGTCGACTGCGTCACGTTCGGGGTCTGTGAGGTTTGTTTGGGCGGTGGCCGTTGGGGGTGCATTTTTGGGGTTGGGGGGTATGGTGTTTTGGCGCCGTTGTGGTTGCGTTGTTGAGAGGTAGGCGTGGCGGATTGATTGGAGGTATTGGAGGAGGGAGTGGATGTGGGAGTTCTGGGTGTACTTGTGTTAACAGGTTCTTTTTGCTTTGCTGGGGGTTGGGTATAGTGGGTGTGAGTGAATGCGGAGGGTGTGGCTTACAATTCGGTATGCCTCCTTTAGGAACTCGTCGGCGGTTTCTGTGCAAGGTTTTCTGGTTTGGGGGATTGATGAGCCTTGCTTTGAAAGCAGGTTGTTGAGGGTTGGTGTTAGGTCGGTCATTGTGAGAGTGGCATGGTCTGAAATGTGTCTAGTGTTGTTGCTATACTGTACACTTGTCGATCAACATCCAACGTCACTGCGTAGGTGGTCTATCCCGCACCCCGTACTTGTTTGTTTCTGGGGTACACGAAGTACTTGGAGCAGAGATGGGATGGGGAATATCACTAACTATTTAAATTGTCTTTGGCATTTGTTTCTCTTGCTCTTTATCATGCAACTCATCAATTCTCAAGTAGTATTACACCTACACAGAACTAACCCATCTCTTCAACCACTATACTACAAGAATCACATCACATCCATCAATGGAGGAAGGTCAAAGTCAATTCCATCTTTTGCGAGTCTGTCCTGGAGGCCCAGAGGGTGATGGTACCCTTTCAGTTATCCTAGGCGATCACAGGGGCATGTCCGACGAAGAAATGCTAGAGGTTGCCTCAAACTACAACCACATGAGCGGGTTCGTCTTCCCCACACGGACAGGCTCAGACTGCGACTATGAGATCCGCCTCTGGGACCCACGCTATGAACTAGAGAACTGCGCCTATGCAATGATTGGAACTGTGTGGTTAATATGGAAGCTTGAGCTGGTGTCAATGGATTACGTCTATATCTGGACCAAGACTGGTCGTGTTGAAGCAAGGATCACAAAAACTACAGACAAAGACAGCACAAAGGAAAATATCTGGGTTGAAATCTCTTACCCGAAATGTACAGTCACGGAGAACGTGACCAACAAACACATCGACGCCATACTACATGACCTGAACATCAAGAGAGATGACATGATACCTAGATCAGCAATCCAGAATGCTGGCACGAACAGAAAGGTGAAGACGCTGATTCCGATCAAATCAGTTGCGAAGTTGAATGAGTTGGAGCTGGAATATGATCTTATTAGGAGGAACCTTGGCAGGATCAAAAGCAATGGTGTGTGTCTGTATGCCACCGACGATCACAAACCGTATGAGTACGAACTGAGGCAGGTTCCTGAAAATGGGAGGGATTGGGAGGAGACTGCGACTGCTTTGGCTTTTGGGGTGTTGGTAAATGGTGTGGTCCGTGACCCTAACCAGATGCTTAAGATTAGGCAGCGTTTAGACGAGGACCGTCATCGTGAGATTAATTTGAGGTTTAGGACATGGGGAAGTCATGTTAGTGGCCTCTGGATCGGAGGCACAGTCGAGTTTGAGACTGAGAAGAGAGAGACTGGAAAGACAAGACAAAGAACTGGGAGACGGATACTGATTGAATAGGGGACGGGGGAGACACGGGATGTCTGCTCTTGTTAGGTAGTTGCAGGCCATGGACTAGCATGACATAGTACACTTGATAGGTCATACACGTTTTTCTACAAGGATCGGAAATTCTAAACAAAGACTAAGCATAAATCACCTTGTGATTGGTGGAAATTACCATGTCTCTCTACCTCTGACATTCAACGTATCGGTTGATGGCAGACAAGGAATCAGCCAGGTTTCAGATATACCGGCTAGACGTCACTTTAGTGACACAACTTGATATTTTTGCCGCAATTGTATCAGATAGATTTTTTGTTTAAAAGCAACTTCATCTTCCTTTTCTAACATTTATCAAATCCAACAATTCCATCTTCCATCATACACACATCCAACATGGCACATCCACTTCAAAACAAGTGTCCAGCAGCAACATCTACAGATCTGCCCACTCTAAATTCAACCCCATCCATCGCACGGTTGATCACTTCATATTCCCTGCCTCACCAAATAGACCCCCTAGTGTCAGGCTTTGGAAATACCACTGATGCTACAAATAACCAAATCCGTGACTACCACCACCAAGTCAAAGCAACTCTCACGAACATCCTCAACGACGATCGAGTGAAGCACGATCCCTGCGGAAGTCGCTGTGTACAGAAGATCCTGTTGGAAAACGAGCAGGATATGCGGAAGCAACGGAGACATTCACTTAATACAAATACATGTTCTGCTAAGCGGACGATGCTATTTTAGATGAACTAGCAATACAATAATAAACCATGCTTCTTCTCGTTGTTGCCAGGGGGAATGAGGATTAGTAGACCCAGCCCTATTTAGTTCTCGGCAACAAACCTCTTCCTGATTTAGGTAGTCCACGAGCCTACCTACAATATTCTCTTAAGTATAAACCCAGATCGAAAGAGAATTAAATCAGTATTCCTCATGCACTGGTCGTATTTTCATGCTAAATATGCAAAACAGGGTATAGACAAAAAAAGAAATCATGCTAATATCAACAGAGAAGAAAATCCAATCATGCAATCAAATCATAGAGCGTTCTTCCACCCATATCTAGACAAGAACACCAGTCAGGAAAAGCGATTCTCAAAAGAATCACAAAAGACAGATAAACTCACCTCGATCTTCCCCATCTCACTTCTCTCCCGTTTAGCAACCTCCTTGGCCGAACTAACCAGCAAATCCAAATCTTCTTGGTCTACCATGGTAATCATATCCCCATCATCCTGCACCTTCATCTTCAGAGGACACCTGAACCCGAACTTCTCACGGATGCGAGTTTCAAATTCCCCAAACTCAATCTTCGGCCCAATCATGATATACCTAGTATCATCAGGAGCGTGTACTTTTACTCTAAATTTCTGAATCTCCGGTCTCCTCGGATTCGCATGACGGGAGTATCGCGCCGGAGAACGAGTACGCCGTTGTTGGGGCGACTGACTGGGACCAGCCTGAGGAGCGGCGACGAGCTCGAAAGCGCCGTCGTTGAGGGTCGTTGCATCGCATGTGTCACTGCCATATTCTTCCTCCTCGTCGATGTATTGGGGTGGTTGGTGGCGGGATCCACGACCCCAGCCTGTGTTTGCTAGATTGCGCTGACTGGAGTACGGATCGTACTGGTCTGTATGACTGTACTCTGGTTCCGGCGCGTAGGCTGTGTTCGTGTCGCTGAGGTTTCTGCGGTGGCTGACTTGCTCGCGGGGTAAGCTGCTTCGACTGCTTTCCTGGTATCCGCGCATGTTGTTTTGTCGTGAGGATGGTCCGCGCGGCTCTGAGGCTGTGCGTGTCGTTCCTATTCGTGGTTTCTCGGTGGATGTTGGCTCTTGTGCATAGGGTCGGCGGTCTAGGCTGGCACCTGTGCGGTCTAGGTCTAGACGGGGTGGGCGGACGTTTCGGAGAGATGATGTTCGGTGGTGTCCAGATGCTGATCCTGATCCAGAGGCTGTGCTGACGGATCGGTCGTCTGGTGGTGGTGTTGGAGGGAATACGTTGCGGTTTAGGGGTGGTTCGGATTGTTGACGAGTGCGGCTGCTGAGGTTTTGGCGGACCAGGTTGGATGCCGCGAAGGAGACTCCTTCGCGGCCTTGGAGGGCTTCTTTGTCAATTACCATTGGATTCCATTGGTGGTCTGATGTTTGATTGCGGTCCGATGCAGCAACTAGGCGAGCCTTGCCTAGATAATCTTTTGTTTTGAGATTTTTGACTTTGGCTGCGTTGGGACGATAGAGGACCCCCACTGGGATTGAGAAGACGGTATAGCCCTGTGTTTAAATTAGCTTGTATCGCAGCGGGTTAGTGAAATCCACATACATCTGCATTCTCCCGGATGGCATCGTCGATCACATCGTGGTCCGGGGTAACCTTTTCTTTGGCAGCATACTCGAGGTCCTGGATGCCCGGGTTCATTTGCCGGAGATAGATATAGCAGAGACCACGATTGAACAGGACTTCGCATGAAAAGAGGCGGAATAGGAGACCCAACTGTTCATAGTCGATCGAAGTATTCCCTCGCAGATACAACAAAGTGTCATTAAAGTTGGCCAATGCTTCTTCGAAGTCGCCGATCAAGAAATTAGATACACCTTGCTGAAAGTACGCGATTGCCAGATACCGGTCTAGACCGACAGCACGTTGATAGCATTCTACCTGCAGCGAACTCAATTAGCTGTGAAATAAATAAATAAATAAATAAGTTCACTTACTGCTTTATGGTGCTCGCCTAAGGTTGCATAGATCACTCCACAGTTGAACAAGATCTTTGATGTGTCGGCAATCTGATCAAAGCATCGTAGGGACTCCTCGAAGTCTTGATTGTCATAGGCATCAAGGGCCTGCACCCATGTTTCGATTTCCTATTCGACCACGATGTCAGCATGCTTAATGTTCTGAGACCACAGCAGATATACCCTTACTTGTTTGAGCGACATTGTCCCGGAAAGTATTAAAGTATTTTTGTCCAAGTCTCTTGTGCCTAGATGATATAGATTGGGGAAAGACTTTGTAGGTACTTTCCATCCCACTCTCTAGGGCACGGTAATATATCTCCGTAGGTGTCCGCCAGCTTGGTGGGCTCACCAGCGTAAAGCCGGGAAAGCGCAAGTATAATATAATTGCCAATGGATGGCCAAGGGACTCTCAGGACTCTCAGGACTCTCAGTCGGTGTGACGAAATAAACCTTAGGGTTGTTAAAGGGGCCAAGAACCACCTGATGGGGCGGAACGAGCGGGGAGAGAGGCGGGTTGGCGGGTTGAAGCCCAATACTCCGTACTGTGATATCCCGAGGATTGAGGTGAAAAGGCTGGGGATATCAAGCAAATGTTATTTATAGAATACTTGGGACTTAGGTATAATCGCAGAATCGGTGATATCAGAATTTGAGAAAGAGTAATTGGTTTAAAGCTGAGTTGGAGAGTGGAGATGAGGGGTGACCCAGCAACTTGGACAGAAGGATTGTACGGAGTAGGGTTAACGGGATTAGGGGATTAGGGGATTAGGGGGGAAGAAAGAAAGAAAGAAAAAAAAAGAAAAGAAAAGAAAAGTTGAAATTGTCAAGAAAATAAAAAAAAAAAAGAACCTGCAGAGGGGCTGCATGGAGGGGCAGGGGGGAGAAAAGAGATGGGAAGTACTGAAAAGGCTACTTGGACCGAGTGAATGGGAGTGAATGGGACGAAAATAACCCGCTTTACTGCAGCAATTATGCACGTTTTGATCAATAGGATCTCACAGATGCCTTTTCGTACTGTCGAGTCTGTGACTGGCCAGATTTTCCATAGTACAACATATATTGGTGACACGCTTCAAGCCAATATCCCACATGAGCTTTGACATTCGAAACTGTTTTTGACTTTGAAATTCTATAATTGAACACCCTGACCCATCATATAGTGCGGGGACTTTCTCTTGGAATTTGAATCTGGTCTATCGCGTGGGAGAATTCACAATTCATTGGTCCTCGATCACCCCCCTGTCACTCAATTCATTCCCCGCCACGGCGCTTGCAGTGCTTTATTTAGAGTTGAACAGGGTCTGAGTGTTAATTATCCATCTCGCTTCCGATTCTTAAAAAGGAAGGATCAATTTCTCGAGATAGTGAATTGCTCCTACAAACATACATCCATAGTCCGATGCTCGCTCCACAGGGCTATATATACACTTCACGACCTTTCCCATTTCGTTTTAGTGCTCACCCTCAATATTTGACCTCTGGTGTTCCATCGTGTGCTTTGAGCTGTTACACAAACAGACTTCCAATGTTATCCCTCATGCCATCCATGGATCTGAAAGTGGATGACTTGGTGACGTGTGTTAGGCTTGTCATTGTCCTCTCGCCAAGTCCCGTAAGAACGGCCGATGACCCAAACATACCGAGTCGGCCCACCCCCCAACAGTAAGAAATTGTGCCAGATCAATTGATGTCTATGCACATCCCTCTAACTTGAACATCCATACAATTTATCTACGGCCACGGTCGATACCAGCTGGAGGTTGTCTAAGTGTTCACTTCCCATGTTTCACTATGGGGCCCAGCCCGATCCGCCCACCAGACATTAATATCTATGGATGAATCGTTGACAAGAGACCATCCTTCAGCACAGTACAAAAATAGACATATTGATCGACGGGTCAAACGTGGCAATCTAGGTATTGTTAATTTGCTAATCTCCATAAGGCTCTCAGACCCGTACGGAGCTTGCTCAACCACAGGGCAAGATATTGATATCTCACTGCGTTTCGAGTCTACCCAAAGACTGGTAATGATAAGCATCTTTCGACCTCGACCTAAAGACCTCAATCCTATAGCTAAAGAGACCAACACATCCTAGATACTGGTATAAGCCTGAATCATAGGCCAGAATCTCTCCGGAGTCCGCCACCATGCGGGGCCTGCAAGACGGCACATCTGCAACACGCACAGGAAACATCCCATCATGTGAGAGCATAGAGCACTCGGTGAGTGTAAGTTTTCAGGCCCAATTGGGTGCTTGGCGTGGGTCTAGATATACAAAAATAGGCACAAAGGGACACAGTGAGTTGAAAAAGCTAAGAGGCCCCAAGTCCCGGATGGTCGTTCTATGATATATGACCTGGTGAATGCCGCGTAGAGCGCCGTATCAATCCTCATTGGCCATTAAATACTCTCTTTTGCTCAGTGGTCCACCACCTTACACTGACTTTTATATTTAGCAACTGCAATCTCCGCTTCCTTTTCCATACGCTTGTAGATCAGTTCCAACGGGAAGGTGTCGACCTCTTTGAATGTGATTTGTGCCGCAGAAGTGCCTCCCGTGCTGCATCTAATCGCTAGATGATCTCTATAATTAGGTGGACTCTCCACCATCAGACCTTCGATCATTGGTCTCCGATGCTATTGGCTTGATGCCTCTCACCGTGCAGCGGACTTGTCGTTGATCACCCAGGTAATTGTGACATTGATGCGTAGAGCAAGAAGTTAGATCCTTTGCTTGGCTTGGTCAATCCTAATGACTGGAGCTAAGCCTGATATGCTTGCAGACACCTTCTACCTTATCCATGTACATAGGAAGGGCTGTCAGACCCACATTGCCCCCACTTGCACGTTGAACCACTTGCATTATGCATGTCTGTACCTTGCGTTGCTATTCTATTTGCGTGTTCAGACTACAAAGGATTGGGCTGCCCAGAATAACCCTCCAAGCTGCAAATATATCACGACGGAAGTATCTATGTGTGGGATTTCTACATAGCATAAGCAAGTGCCCAAGCTTGAGTCTTCCCAGAGGTATGATAGTGGCCGTCTAGTAACCTCGTATAGTTACCCACTGAAAACTCAATAAAGGTGGCGTGCAGCATCTTGGCTGTTTGTCCAAGTTGTCGCTCTAGAACGGACGTCTTGGTTTCTAGGATTATCTCGTCGGATCGCGGTGGAACACCTGTCTATCGCGCATCGTATCTCCCGTCACAGTCCGTGCGAGAAAGAAGGAAATGGTTGCATGTATTCATGCAGGGATATCACTCAACGTCCGTCTGTACATGCATTTCAGTTACTTTCATTGTGAAAAGCAAGGATAGACAATCTATTTATATCAGAAATTGACTAGCTAATGCCGGTAACAGAGATCATGGATGTAATCTCCATGTGGAAATCCGGTGTAGTGGTTGGTGGTTGAGTACCCCACCCCGGCGCTTAAGAGCTTTTTTTTGGATCAGGGAAGGTTTTCGAAATAGCAGGGATAATTCCGTAGCGTCCTTGAGAGGGCATTACGAAGCGCTAACTACAACGTACATTAGACATCGAGTAAAATCCAGGTACATCCAGCAAAACATAGGTGAGTTCCAAAATTCAGCCGGTAACATTCTCGGCCGAGGTTGATTATTCAACGCTGAAGATGACTATAGAAATCCAAACATATAGGGAATACTTTATTTACAGCTTACAGCTTAGCAACCATCTTGTTGCCCTTCTGCAGCAGAACAGCGGCATCTCCGACGAGCTCATCGACGATAGCCTTGGCAGACTTTTTCTCGTTGACAACGGCGGCAACCTTGCCCATCAAGTAGGGACGGGCATTGTCCAAAGTGTCATCATCGACATCATCGGGCAGGTTCTCCATATCGTGCTCGACGGGGATGACACCCTTAGCGGTGAGTTGCTTAATCTCATCGTGGCGGTTCTCCTCCCAGTTGACGATGTAAGGGTTCTTGCGAACACGGAGGGGACGACCCTATACCCTCTGTTAGCGACCTGAACATCTTGATAATAGAATAGCGAGGAAATACATACAGTGAAGATAATAGTGCGGATGTTATCCTCGAAGTTGGAGGTACGGACAGCCTCTTGGTGAGCAGTCGGGGCACCGGCCTCATCAGACAAGATGAAGCGGGTACCGATCCAGACAGCGGAGGCGCCGAGCATAAGGGCAGCGGCAACCGAGTTACCGTTGAAAAGACCACCGGCCGCGATGACCTGCACGGGCTGGCCAGTCAGAGGGCTCTTCTTGCCCTCGACCAACTTGGCAACGGTGGGGATAAGGACGGTGGTAGGGACATCACCGGTGTGACCACCGCCCTCACCACCCTGGGCACAGATAATATCAACGCCAACATCAAGGGCCTTCTGGACGTGCTTGGGGTGGCCGATCATGTTCATGCAGAGGATTCCGGCACTGTGGAGCTTATCGACAACAGCCTTTGGGGGAACACCGACAGCGGAGACGAAAAGGCTAGCCTTTTCCTGGATGATAATATCAACGAGCTCACCGAGCTTGCCCTTGGTGTAGTCATAGCTATTTGCCGAAAAAAAATGTGATTAGCATGTGTCAACAATAAAAAAAAAGCACCGCAGTGATCGAAGGGTCTTACTTGGTCTTGCGGGCACTGCCGCCAACCTGGGGAAGGAGAAGGTCGACACCGAAGGGAGCGTTCTTGTCGGTCAGGTAGCTCTTGAGTTCGGCGACTTGTTCGCGCAGCATCTCGGGGGTATAGCCGACGCCACCGATGACACCCAGACCACCGGCGTTGGTGACAGCAGCGGCCAGCTTGGGTCCCGCAGCCACGTTCATGCCTGCCAGCAGGACGGGGTGGTTGATCTTAAGCAGATCAGTGATCGGGGTACGGATTTGTTCTGTTTTGTGATCATGGTTAGCATCGATGTTGTGGCCATGTGCCTATGTGGAGCCCTCCGTCAGGTAGAAGGAGATCACATGAAAATAATGGGCATAGTAAAGGATAACCTTGGAAGACACTTACGAGGAGACGCCATTATGAAGGTATGTGGAGTGAAGGTAATGGAAAAAATAAAACCTGGGGAAGAGGAGGGATGGGGTTGCAGCCAACCTATAAAGCAAAGCAACCTCGGTGGTTCACAGACTCGCGATGAGCCTCGGTCCAAACGACTTGACCGAGAGATTAGTCACGACGTTACGACCCGCGGCCAAGGAACTGCCGTAGCGGGGATCGAGTCAGACACCTGAGGCAGAAAATTTCACGTGTCTACCCCAGAATGCGGATTCCGCGTGACTTCCAAGGTTGCTCCCTACACACTCGTGGCCCCGGATATCCTGTCATCCAAATAAACCCTAACCCCTGTCATAAGGCTGTATCGATTCGTGGAGCCATCTATGGTGATAGCACATCGGCGACAAAGTCATCAAGTCGGATAAATAGTCCATGTGTAACACAGCTGGATTTTATGAATGGATTGGATGACCCTTTACAATGTTGCTTGCAGAAAAGGATTCACAAGAAAAGAAAAGATAAGAGAACATGCGACTACATTTTGCTTGTGTCGGTCGACAACTATTGGCGGAGCGAACGGGGAGAAAAACAATGGATTCATCTATCCGCCGCTGGAGGGAAAAGCGATCAGCCTTGTAGAGGAGAAGCAAAGTCCTATATAATACCTAGATAACTATATGCTTGGAAGTAGAGTCTAAAAGTCATATGATGTCATTACGTCTGAACATTCCATCGCAATTCATGGAGACATATATAGACCCCCCGGCATGTGAATTACAATGGTAAGAAATCAGCCCAGACATGTAGGCAAATCAGACGAACATCAAATTAGACCTACGCCTAGATGGTCAGGATATTTTCTTATACAACACATTCGTATTCATTCTTGTATGGTGCTAGTGATACTTGATAAGCTCACTGCTGAGTAGTAAAACATTGACTTCTGCAGAAGTTTATATACATATCCAAGAGCTGGTTCATCAAACCCAAGGAGGCAGTAATATTCTGCAAATCATAAAGAAAAAGAGAAACAAAAACGAAAACAAAAATCCATCGGTCCTGCCGGTTTTAAAGTAACACGAGAATTTATCCCAGAGTCAGAGTGAAACCAGAGCTCAGAGAGCAAGAGTAGGTGTTCACGTCATCTGGGAGCTGGTAAGCATCCTTGCACTCCGCATCGCCAGCGGCACAAGAAACAGACTTGCAACTCGAGTCACTGGGGACAACGGTGAAGCCCGACTTGACAAACTCGGAAGTCGAGTCAAGATCGATGGAGGACATGTCCCAGAAAAGGGTGTCACCATCCTGGGTGTATTCGAACTGAAGGACGCTATCCTTGCTCTCGCTGGTCGACATCTTGATGGAGATACCACCACCGTTGGAGTTGGTGGCCCAGTCCTCGCTGTAGTCACCTCCGGTGCTGAGAGTCTTCATGGACCCAGCATCAGACGAGGTGGTCCACAGGTAAACGTCGGTATCCATGTTGTTGACGATCTGAAGACCGCCGCTGCTGGAATCGCGGGTCTCAACGGCGCCGGATTCTCCGGATCGAGCGGAGTGGGGGAGAGCAGCAGCGGTGGCAGCGAGAAGGCCGGTAAGGAAGACGTTGAAAGTCATGATGGAAGATTGTAAATTGAAGAGAGTGAAAGTGGTAAGACAAAAATAGTTCACCTGGTTTACAGAGATACTAAAGTGACAGTAATGGAGGATCAACCTCGAATGAATGAATGACTTCAAGAAAAGGAGTGACTTGAAGACCAAAGAATGTGTTTGAAGAAAGAAAGAAAAAGGAAGTCATATCTGCGAATGTCCATCTTTTTATTATGCTCGGTGGAGTCGTCCGGATGAGGATGAAAACTTTAGAAGAGGACCAAAAAAATGCGAAGGATGTGGCCAGGTGGATAGACTACAATTATAGATGTGGGTTCAATCAATAAGGTTGGCTTCCGAGATCAGACAGCCAATCAGAACATGCGGCTGAGGTTTCCATAAACGGTCTCGAACGTTTCGTCATATCGAACACTTCGTCATCAGCTTGCGAGTGGAACTCGTGGTTTCCAGAATTTCGATTCTTAAACTTCAGATCGATCCAATCATTCAACGAGTTCGGTTCGTCAAATAGATTCTCTTCTGAAGCACATCCAAGAGGAAAAAGAATGGATTACCTTACATCAGTTCTTCATGGCATCTTCCAAGATTATCCACCTGAATCCACAGCTACCCAGCACTTTGACAGACTCGAATTTTACGTCAGTCTCCTGTGGCAACCCTTTATCTGGGCATACTCTTTTCACCTATAGAAATCCACAACTAAAGCAGCCGAATGTTAAAATGTTGATGATATGACCTCTAGATGCTATCTATCACTCAAGAGTCGCATAATTTCCGTACAAGATGTAAATTTTTACTTTTTGTAGTTCAAGGCCCAGACCTTTTGTCTAGAATCCTATACTCTATCCATTCAAGGCTCCAGGTCGGTTCCTATCATCCACCAACTCAGCCACACTTTTTGCCACGGTATTCTGTGGGGCTATCATTTTAACAGTGGACGTCGAAATGGTTAGTCAGGGGTTGTTTCTCCTGAGGTCGCTGAGTCTTATTCAATAATATCAAAGGAGTAAGCGGTTGCGGAGTAGTTTGCCTCCTTCGGTGTCTAATTTTCTCGCCTTTCCTACCTTTCTTAGTTTTCCCCTCGCAGGGCTAAATTCAATTAAAATTGGAATATTCGCTGGGCTGTGTTAAATGAAAAATTTGAAAATATTGAAAAAGAAAACCGAAAAATCAAATTATCATTCCTTTGCCCTTGTTCTTCTATGGCACTCCATCACAGGAAACATACTACGTAACAGCATTTAGAATATCCTTCGAACCACTTGTTAAGCCTCGCCTTGAATCCCTTCAACGTTTGCCTGAAGGTTCTCCTGCGCAACCATCTGGCCTGGCTGAAAAGCCGTAGCAAATATCTTCTCAAACTCATCATCAGAAAGAAGGGGCACCCCAACAAGGTCATTATCCAAAGTCTTGAACTCGGCCTCGAATTTGCCACCCAAGAGCGCAGCTTTCAACAGCGCCAGTGTTTTGAAGAGGTCCAGGTCCCTCTGCTTGGTATTTTCGAGAATTTTCTCAAGCTCAGCCGCTGCATCTAATGGATCCTCGATCCATTTGACATCAGACCCTGAGTACTTCTTTGCCAGGTTCAAAACTTTGTTTTGAGTCAGGACAATGTCGTGAACGCTTACCAAGCGGTTTTTGGTCGCTGCGGCATTCTTCAAAGCACCAGCAACGGCTTTCCCGACACTTGACACACTGGTGGAGCTGAAAGTATGCACACCATTGTCATAAACCGGAGCAGTTTGAGTTTGCAGGTCGGTCAAAAATGGCATCGACATGACAAATTCCAGGAAGGGCCCAACAGCAAAGAGTGTGTACTCGATCTGTCCGCTCAGCGCCTTTTCTTTGAGATAATTTTGGATGTCAATCCATAACGCGTTAAGCGGAAGTGACTCTGCTCCAGGTCTGGTCGTAAGCGCTCCGAAATCGGAAGGGATGAAGCGTCGGACGCCAGCCTGGATGCTGGCATCGATAACCGTCTTCTGGGCGCTAATACCGGATGAACCGACGGTAGACACTACAGCGTCCTGGCCCCTAAGAGCAGCTACAAGATTCTCGATAGACGAATAATCGACTTGCATGGTCTTGATGCTAGAAGGAGCTTCATCCACAGAGCGAGCTGTGCGGCTCAGCACCGTGACTTGGAAGCCAGTATTCATGAGCTGCTCCAAGATTGCGGATCCCAGCCATCCTTTCTGTTGACCACATATTAGTATAACAAACATAACTATTTTATTCCCAGTAAACTCACTCCCAAGAGTGCGACGTTCCGAATAGGCTCCATGTTAGACGGAAGTGATGTTTGAAATCAAAGTGTATATGGAGTAATTAAAGGAGGAGGAAGGCGAGGAACTATTGTGAATCGAAGGAGAAGTACATAAGTTTCGAATGAGATGGCAAATTGGCAATAGCGAAGATAAGTCGGTCTCTCCTCCTTTTATAGCTAGAAATGTAACGGAGTGTATGGTCCTCCATATAATTATCGACGGTATCTACATTAGGCAATTCACTCGTAGAATAGTAAATAATCTGATCACACCGTCAGCTCTATTCCCAATTAGGCAACTCAGTCGTGGTATAGCATTGACATTTGCGCTATTCCCGTTTGGGTAAGCCAGTCGTGGATTAGCGCAGTCATTCCAACCAATGAAGATCTGTTTGCTGAAATCTTACTCCACCTTCGCCTGAATCACCCTAAAGCAACTCAAGACTCAAAATACATCTCACCATATCTCTACGGAGCACGGAGTATTGTCTCGGTAGTCACGCAAAGGTAAACCACAGGTTGTGTTATCAGCGGCCAAGAGAGCAAGTTTTGGTGCCCAAGCGGCAGTGCTGAGCCCATCACAACGTTCTTTGACTGAATTATTTCAGATACGTCACTTTGCCACCATCATGGCATCTACCAGAGCTAGCCCGGCTTGTGGGAACTGCAGGTCTAGGAGAATCAAGGTTGGCTTCCCACTTCCACAGAATTTTGGCCAGCCTTGTGCGCCCCACTAACATCTCTCGATAGTGCAATCTTCTCCAACCAAGATGTAGTCAGTGCGCTCGAGCCGGTCTAAGATGCACTGGTTATAGGTCTCAATCAGATCTACTTTTTCGAGATCAGACTAAGTCGACGATTCAAAAGTTGCATGCTCCGAGTACCAAGACTGCCACTTGTTGGAGCCTAGTCGCAGTAGAACCCACTTTCAATATCGAAGAACTTGCACAGAAAGTATTTTCTGACAATTTTGCGATCTTTGGGAATAGGTGTAAGCACTGGATGGATTCCGGTGCAGATCGCCCATCTTCCGCCACTATTAGCCTTACCTCCGTTGGTCTCGCTGCACTTGCCGTTGTCCACAAGGATCCTGATATGATGGATTTGGCGCGAAGAAAATACAACTTTGCTATAAGGGTCCTTACTAAAGCAACTATTGGCCATCAGAGCTCTGGAATTGAGCAGTCTATTGCCGGAAGCTTTATTTTGTCTATCTTTGAGGTTCTGTGTTCTGATATCCTGCTAATTCAAAAGCTACTGAACTAACGGATAGTTGATGCTGCAGATGATAACATGCGATAACCACTCCTCTCCACATGCCTGGCAAAAGCATGTCCACGGTGCTGCTGCATTCTTGGGCTATTTATGTTCTACCAGTGGGTTGCCACTGTCGCCAGTGAAAGAAATTATAGAGATGTGCTACACTACAGTACGTTGGTATGCCATTAGAAAGCAAAAAAACCTACTAATTACTCGTACTTTCAAGGCACTTGCGTGTCTTATAAGTGGCAAAACGGTTCCACACTTCTTACTAGAATTACCAGGCCGATTTGGAGCAGCATCGAATATCTCACAAGACAATGAGGATCCCTTGTTATCAGCAATGAGACTTTTTGCCATCATGGGCACCTTGGTGAATATTCGTGGATTGTCGAACCGGAGCCTTTTTCTACCCAGTCAGCTAGTTGTACTGGCCATACAAACTGATCAAGCCCTCCAAAACTGGGGAACTGCACTTCCTGCGTCGTGGACTTATCACAAGCTCCTCAAAGGGCCCCAATACATTTACCAGGACGTTTGGTATGCTCGGATGTGGAACTACTATCGCCTAGCCCGCATTCTAGCAAACAAGATAATCATCGACAATTTCAACATCCTGTCACCCTCAACGTTACCAGGTGATAATTTCAAATTGCAACATGACCAGTCATATTCCATCATTTCGCTGTTATTACAGGAGATCTACACCAGCCTAACTTTCATATTCAACTCGGAACAAATTCCTGCTACCTCTCTACCAATATCCTCAGCCCTTTTCTTCACGACCGCTCTATTGCAATCTCTGTTGAAACTCACAGACAGAGATTCCCTCATTCAGGACTGGTCAATCCCGGCATGTGAAATCCTAGGAGAAAGGTTCACTTTTACTAAGGGCATCGTGATGCAGAATCTTCAATAGGCCAATTTTAATATAAAATGGAATTTTCCTCGAGCTATCCGTCTTTCTACAGATTTCGTGTGACAACAAGTGACCTGTCATGCTGAGTTTAGGTGCAGCTAACACAATAGTTACTGCAGAATTTTCAAAGAACCCACAATGAAGGAGTGGCGAAGACGTTTTGAGTATGGAGGCAGCACAGGCAAGAGGGATACTGGGGTTTGGGAGGACGAACTGCATCTAACCAACGTCACTGCTCACTGCCCAGGCTTTCAGTTGATTTCCATCTATTTCCTTCGGTGAGTATTGATTTACCTAGGTGCCTAGGTCTGGTCGTCGTGATGGACGCTGGTGATGGATTTGGCTACATGGACTAGCCGGTCAGGTTTGCAACCCGCGATTTCGAGAACTTCCCATGCCTCTCTCTTTGTAATGTTTACCCAAAACAATCAAAGCAGAATATTATGTGATTTGAATGAACGCTTCAGCTGTCATCCCCATTCCCATCCCTCGTGTCGTCGTTATTGTCGGTTTTCCCGTCCTTCTCGTCCTCCCCCAAACCATCAGGCTCACAAAGAGGACCATTCATGAACAGTATCCAAGCATGTAACTTTGACACCCACGCACTCCAAGCAAATGTTGAAATTGTTGCAATCTTCACATCGGCGATAGGAAGTATTAATCAGCATCGGCCGAGTGCACACATCGCAAATACGCCCCATATCCAAATTCACCAAAGACCATATCTTGTCATCGCTAGGTTGGAGGATTCGAGCACCGAAGCTTTGTGTGTAGCACCACTGGTGTATCAGAGCAAGGATCTGACTGCGCCCAATCCCTATCGCCCACCAGATCAAGTCTCGACCAAGTCCATCCATGTTTGACTGTCCCCCTCTTAGCGTGTTCAACTGTTCGATGGCCCCTTCATAACCGTTTCTTGCAGCGGCTAATAGTCGCATCATGCTATATCGATCCTTCGCATTTGCATGAAGACGCAGAAGAAGAAGTTTCGCCATTTTGCTGGGGCCTCGTGCGACAACATAGAAGGTTGGCGTGCAGCCTTTTCCAACCTGAATGTCAATCCTGAGCTTTTCAGAATGAAGGAAATTGTTGATGACTTCCAGTTTGTCATGTGGTGACACATAGCGCAACAGCGTTCTATCATCAAAATTCCCGTTCTCGATCGCTGCGCCCCTCTCTAGCAGCAGATTAACAACGTCCAGATTCCCAGAAACTGAAGCGGTATGTAGCGGAGTCCCCATACGCACATCCACGCTTTCAATACCCGCTCCTTTGTCAAGCAAAAGTTTGACAACCCCTATATAACTACCGAATGAAGCAGCATGTAAAGGCGTGCGACCATCTTCGGCCACGCTATTGATATCCGCGCCCTTCTCGAGCAAAAGTTGGACAACTTCCATAGAACCACCAGTGCAAGCACAATATAAAGGCGTGCAACCGTCTTTGGTCACGCTGTTGATATCCGCACTATTCTCGAGCAAAAGTTTGATAACTTCCATAGAACTAGCGAATGAAGCAGAATGCAAAGGCGTAATATCGCCTTTAGTCACGCTGTTAATATCCGCGCCCTTCTCGAGCAAAAGTTTGACAACTTCCATAGAACCACCAGAGGAAGCATAATGTAAAGGCGTGCGACCATCTTCGGTGACGCTGTTGATATCCGCGCCCTTCTCGAACAAAAGTTTGACAGCTTCTATAGAACCACCAGCGCAAGCATAATGTAAAGGCGTGCGACTATATTTGGTCACGCTGGTAATGTCTAGAGAGCCTTCCGATGCAGCCACATGTAGGGGCCTCCTGCCATTCTTGTCCGCACCTTCAACTGTTGCTCCCTCCTCGAGTAGCATAGTGATGACATCCAAAAAGCCTTCCATAGAAGCGACGTCCAGCGGGTGTACGCCATATTGATTGGCAATTTCAAGATCTGCTCCTTTTGCAACTAGACTTTTGACAACTTCAATGTGACCATTGGCGGAAGCGCAAAGGAGAGCCGTATCCCCAGACTCAGACTGGGCGTTAATATCCGCCGCTCTATCAAGAAGAAGCAGAACAATATCTAAAAACCCTCTATTTGAGGCCACATGTACCGCCGTCCATTGTTTATCGTTCGAATGGTGAACATCTGCACCTTTGTCAAGCAATAGGCGCACAGTCTCAATATGACCTTCCCAGGAAGCATTGGAGAGAGGTGTTTCTCCGAACTGATCAGGGGAATCAATGTCTGCTCCTTCCTGAATAAGGAGGTGAACAATGTCCAAAAGCCCTGCCCCAGAGGCGTAATTTACTGGCGTCCGTCCGGATTGGCTTTGATGGTGGATATCTGCACCCTTGCTAAGCAATAGGCGCACAACCTCAATATGGCCTTTGCGGCAAGCGCTAGAGAGAGGCGTCTCACCAGACTGGTTCTGGACTTCGATATCTGCCCCTCTCTCGGCAAGGAGGAGAACAATGTCTGAGAATCCTTCATCAGAGGCGGTATTTACTGGCGTCCAGCCAAATTGGTTGGGATGGTGAACATCTGCACCTTTGTCAAGTAATAGGCGCACAACCTCAATATGACCATTCTCGCAAGCAATATAGAGAGGTGTCTCACCATACTCATTCGGGACACTAATATCTGCCCCTCTCTCAGCAAGGAGGGGAACAATGTCTGAGAATCCTTCATCAGAGGCGGTATTTACTGGACTCCAGCCAGATCGGTTGCGATGGTGAAGATCCGCACCTTTGTCAAGCAATAGGCGCACAACCTCAATATGACCTTTGTAGCAAGCGCTAAAGAGAGCCGTCTCACCAGGCTCGTTCTCGACTTCGATATCTGCCCGTCCCTCAAGCAATAGGCGTACAACCTCAATATGACCTTTGTAGCAAGCATTACTGAGAGGTGTCTCACCACACTGATTCGGGACATTAATATCTGCCCCTCTCTCAGCAAGAAGGAGAACAATGTCTGAGAATCCTTCATCAGAGGCGGTATTTACTGGCGTCCAGCCAAATTGGTTGGGATGGTGAACATCTGCACCTTTGTCAAGCAATAGGCGCACAACCTCGATATGGCCATTTTCGCAAGCAATATAGAGAGATGTCTCTCTAAAGCTATTAGAGGCGCCAATATCTGCTCCTTTCTGAATAAGGAGCTGGACAATATCTAGAAACCCACCTTTGGACGCAGCAAACAGAGGTATCCATTCCTCATGTGTGGCCATCAGTTCAGGTTCCCATTCAAGGAGCATTTGGACTACCTGATGATGACCGTTTAAACAGGCACAATAAAGTGGCGTTTTCGTTCCATCAGATCCATTGTGGATTTTGGCGCCCTTCTCAAGGAGTAGCTTTAGTACTTCTGCATGCCCACTGCACGCGGCAGTGTGAAGAGGAGTGTGATCATTGTCGCCGGCTATTTCAAGGTCCGCGTCATTGTCTAAGAGTTTCTTGACCGCATCTAGGTGTCCTCTTTCGCAAGCTGCTGATAACGGGGTCCGTCCAAAGTTTCCTTGCTCGTCGATTGAGCATTTTCCGCTTTGTAGGAGGAGGTCCATGGTATCAGTCAGACCAAGCCATGTTGCGTAGTACAAAGGGCTCATGGAGGTGGTTTGGGTGGTTGGTCCGTCTTTAGACGTAGATAATTCAGGCTCGTCTCCGCTCTTTGAAGACCCTATCTCTTGTTTGTCGTCGGGGGCTGATGGGTTTGGGTCTTCCGCGCTGTCAAAACACCCTATCTTTTGTGACACATCATTTAAGTCGAACCAATCTTTCCACGAGGCCCAGTTTGGATTTTCGATATCAAAAAGGTGATTCACAGATTTCACCAGCTCCGAGTCACGTATATTTCCGAAAGAGGCGTGCTGATACCATGATCTGGCAGCATAATCCCGGAAAGAGCCGAGGACCTGAGCTCTTCCCTCCTCGGGGGTCTCTTGCCAAACTTCTTCGCAATCCACGTAGCAAAGACACATCTTGGCAGTCAAAGTGTTCTCCATTCCTTCTGTCAAAAACTTCAAGCTCGAGTTGAGTTGTAGGAGTCTCCCTTGCACTGGAAGATTGCATAGTAAGTATTCCTTGACAGTGAAATGCGCCAAATGTACCGTTCTCGACCCGGGATCGCATTCTGCCTCTGGACTTCGAACATCAATCAATGATCCACACAGTTCCATCATTTCTGATTTGATATAGTTCTCATTAATTCTGCCGGGGACCCCTTCAAACCTGACCTCGTCACAGTCTGCGTTGATCAATAAGGCTCCAGCCATCTCACACACCGAAAGCGGCCGAAGGGCAAATGCGGCCCATCGTAGTAAAGCGATAGTTCGTTCTCGTTTGTCCTCCGAGAGATGCGAGATTCCCGTCCATTCTCGGTCGTAGGTCTTTTGAAGACCAGGAGGGGTGGAATTGATCGTCTTTTCGAGTTGTTTTGGACTTTTCCAGTCGTGTAGTTGACTTTCTTGCATCTGGACCCAGAGAAACTGTCCGTTACAACATTCAGCCAGTTTCTGAGAAATGTCTTCCTTTGTCCCTTCTGTCATTGTTGATAACCTTTTATTCACTATGGACCGAGCGAACATATCAAGATCGGGTCGGACGTCCTCGGGTGTGATGCTGTGCTGAATGACAATAACATCATTGGGATTGGACTCGTTCACAAGACAAGCCCTGATTTCTGGCTCATCACGACTAACAACCAAAAGTCGAGTAGATGTGCCAGCGATTGCATGTCTCAATGCCTCCAGAAAGTCAACGATCGAAGCCCCGTGGTTGGAGTTATAGTCCTGTTCAACCCATCTGCATTCATCGAGGCCGTCTAGGACAAATGTGCACCGGGGTATCTTGATGACAAGCTCACGTAGGAGCTTTAGTGTATCGCCACGCGTTGCTCTCTGTCCTTGTTGCGTTGTCAATCTCTCGCGGGCTAAAGAAAAGACGACAGGGTGACGCAATAATTGGGATAGCCATGACCTAATTGCGATAAATGGGTCCCTTCTGCTTTCAAAGTCAGATGAAAAGAAGAAATGAGCAACGGGGTCCTTCGAATTGGAAGAAACGTGGTCAATAACTCTCGCACATATGACTGACTTCCCAAATCCCGCATGACCATTGATCCAGAGGATCTTAGCACATTCAGTTGGGAAGTCTGGCGAGATCCAGTCGAGGAACCATGGCTGGCCCAAAACCCACTCGCAAGTCCCTTTGATCTTTCTCTCGGAAAATATCTCGTACAGCTCGTTTGAAGGGGTAGAACCGAGAAGCCATGCGTGTAAATCTCGTCTATGTTCATCTAAAACAATCAAGCATGAGGCAAAGAACATCAACGGGAAATAGGATGGGACAACCTTCCATCTGACTCTCCATGCGCTTTACCAGATTTTCGAGCTCAGTTCGCCATACATCTGCGTCCGACACTTTGTCTAGGGGGAAAAAAGAAGAAAGTTCATAAGCTTTCAAGACATTTAAGAGTGTTGCAAATAACCACTTACCACCGGTGGGCCTTCTTCCCATGTGTTCCTTTGGATCCTCGATTGGTACCAAGATATGAAGACTTTCCACCAATTTGGAGAAACGATCAACTTGGGCGACTCGCTTAGCTTTGGTTCTGAAAACCCATCCAAGTTTCTGACGTTTGGATTCGCGAGGAGCATGGCGATGGAATGGTTGGTCTTTGGTGGGGTTTTCGTCTTTCCCCAGCATCGGTGTCAAAAAAGCTTTATCCTCATCACGACAAGTAGTGTTGATTGCCAAGAGGAGCTCTTTAACTGTCGACTCAATCTTAGGGTCATCAAGAAGGGGGTTGTGTACATATGAGAGTTCGTCATCTTCCAGGCCCACAGCCACGCCCCATTTCGCGAGTCGAAGCTTTTGGACTTTAAATTGGGCGACAAGAGAACGAAACTCGGAATCGTAGTCTTTCCACGAATCGAATCTTTCAACGGCCTCCAAACAAGTACTAAAGAGACCTGCAAGCCCTATAATTCCGACAGCAAAGCTGACGGGCTCCATGGAGGATATACCTAGTTATGCGTTGTACTTTCAAAGTTGTGATAGAAAGGAAAGTCCTTAGATCTGCTCGGGTAGCTGTGGGGCTGACCCCAGGAGGGGCAACCTTGGGACAACTAGTGGCTGTTTATATAAGCAAGGCTGATAGCCCCGGAGCTGATACCTACCTAACTAGGTATCAAATACTACTTCCAAGGTGTAAGAGGTAACTCCTGGAACGGCTACAGAGTTGTAGAGTGGAGCTGAAATGGCGATGTACAGAGCAAATCTCATGTGTACTTTATCACGAGCAGGACTTCCACCCAAAACACGCCTGACTCTTGCCCTTGTACAAAGTAGCTTCTCTTCTGCTTCGCTATTATCTTCTCCCCTATAGAGCGATCATTCTCTATTATGATCCGCCTACACTTTCCCTTTGTGCATCAACTGGAGCTTGACTTAAGTCATTGGTAAAAACGAGAAGGGGATAACTGGGCAGGGAATATGTAGGTAGTATCACTCCTTGATTGCGTAATGGGGGCCTTTTTCTACGATAAAAGGCAGACGTGTTGTTGAAAAATGTAGGTATTAGCTGAATTCCCGGCAGTTGTTAGTGCGTCGGCGGATGTATTGTGTTATCGACCGCTTGGTCCCTGATTATGGCACTGGGTACTTAAAATTCGATTGCAACATTCAAGTTCTATAAGGGGCCTACTTCGATGAGTCCGAGAAGAGCCCCGTCGTCTCAGCATTAGAGCACAATCGCACATACCACGAGTGGGTCCATAGCTATATACAGCCGGCATCCCGATCTACATCGTTGTGATTGGGAGCTGCTCCAGGGGGCTTGGACGATAGACTATGCATTGCTGCCTGTGAACTCTATTCATTCCACGAGCTATTAGTAGTATACCGTGCGATATCCAGATTTTGTTGTCTATTTCATAAGTTCCGAGGGAAGAAGAAAACAGATGTCATCATAAATTTTGTGGTTTAGCCAAGCGGCCACGAAAAACATACGCCGGCCTTAAAACCAGCGATGAGAATGAATCGCCGTATTTAATGTACAATGCTTCGACACAGGCCGTAGGAGGCGGCATTAAAAGCGAGGGCGGGAAGTAGGAACAAAACGGGAGCCTCGGTGCTATGTTGTTTAAAAATAATGACATCGACCGAACGCCTGAGAAGAGAGACTTGATGTGAAGATGTTGTTATGAAGACAGTGGTAGAAGGGAGGATATGTTGATGGCGATCGAAGGAGGATATGAACCGAGAAGAGAATTCAAGCGAGGGCCTTCTGTTCCGACGGAGGAAGGGGAGGAAGCTAATAATTTCCATAGTTAGAATCACGTCTAATTGTATTCGGATCAACTTCAAGATGATAAATTCGATATACCTCGAGCTTTGTGTTATCGGCCATCATGCGCTGGAATCCAATACCGACACCCTCGATGACAGCGAGGAAGACGGCACACATAATAGCGGAGTTTCGGGCGGCCTTATAACCACCACGGATAGCAAGGGAGCCACCGGTAAAGAAACCAGCAATGATAGCATTATAGGGATCTTCCTTCTTGCGAAGACCCTTAATTGAACAGTCGTAAATACTGAAGAGACCTCCCCAGCAGCCGAAGTTGCCACCGAGGACGGGAGCGCGCGCTTTGATTGCTGTGAGCGCACCTATCCGGCGCTCGCCGTATGGACTGTTGCGGAATCCCTTAACACCGTGCCAGACAGCACCGCCAATAGCACCCATGGCGAAGGCACCACCGAAGTCGCTCAGGGCAACCCAGGGACAGGGATCGCGCGTGTGATCCATGATGTGTGAATGAGGTGGATGGGCGGATATTCGGGAAGAAAAGGCGGATCACCGGGACGAGATCAGTTGTGAAAGGCGCGAGAGTCGTAAAGGTCGAGGATTTAGAAATGGCAATAAACCCAGCGGTGACACAAGATAAGCTGGAGGGAGGATCAATGGGTTAAGAAATTCAAGATGGGGTACACGTGACCTTGAAAAAAAGTCCCCTGAAAACTTTGCAAGGTTTGCATACAATTGGTGCCTCAGGTATGGGCCTCGGGTATGAATTATTGTTCCAGGTCCTCAGATTCTACAGATTCTACATGGTAGTTATCTTTATAAAATCGCTCTCTCAGCCAAACACTAAAAGGTTCATCCTTCTGCCAACCAACCTTCGTACTTCGCAATTGCAAGCCCAGATATAAGAATCAAAGCACGATTATCCTCTGTCTGAATTTCAGCCATCTTCGATCCCACCCCATCAAAGAAAATAAAACCATCATGATTCATCACGGCAACCGGACTTCCAGCTATACCGGGGCCGGCCAATGAGTTACATTCGCTGACTCGACAGACTCGAACATCTCGATTTACAGCGAATGGTAGGTCTGCCGGGAGGTCCTTGGAAGGTGTCCAACTATTCTGGAACTCCCAAATCAACGTTTTCAATGGTACATCTTGATCTCGGTGATCATCTTCACGCTTGAATTGATAATGTTCGCCATCGATTTCAACCCAGTGCCAGCGCTCGTCGTTTGGCAAAAACAAGTATCCTCGGTGGGAGTTGCAGACTTTACACCCATACCAAGGAGGGGCGTCAACATCAACACCGGCTACTAAGCCTTCTGTACTAAATAAAATAGCATTTGTGTCCTTTGCTTTCAAGGCCTCCATGTCATCTTCGTATGCTGTCACAACAAAGTCGGTTTTGTTTCTGAGCTTGACATGGTCGGGTCCCAGCTGTGTAAGAGAGGTACCGAAAAATCCTGGACACCAGATGTTGAAGATTGGCCATACAGAGCCCTTGTTCCAATTGGTACATTGATTGATTTGTAAGGATAGCTGCGGCGCCAGGGATACAAATGGCAGACAAAAATTGGTATCGGCGACCGAAGGGCGGTCTGGTCGCGATATGTCATAGTACTCAACGCATATGAGCTCCGATGGGGCTGAAGAATGACCTGGATCGCCTCTAGAAGCATAGTTAGATTAGCTTGCCCTTATGCACTGGGTAGTGATGTGGGGTAGCTTTACCCGGGGATCATCTGCTCGCCAACAGCACTAGGCATCGTTTCTAGAAGTTGAAGGTGTTGGTAGGGGCTTAAAAATGTCCGATACACCGGAAGTTTATAGAGAAACGGTAGGCACTTATATAATAAACAGATAACCTTTTACCACAGAGCCGCAGGGTATGACTAAGCTTTTCCTCTACTTAGGTACCAGTGTTTTGAGAGCTTTGAGATCGCAATAAAGGTTCGGGTTTTGCAATTTTGAACCGTTGGGGGCTGGATCTAGTCCCAGCAAAGTCTGCTATTTTAAGCGATGTGGTTACAGCGCGCGATCCAATAGCAGTTTGTCGAGAACTTCTACCTAGTTGTGATATACCTACTGGACACAAAACTTGGGTCGTCAAATATTCGGCATGCCGTTGCACCCGCCAATCGGCTTGAGCGAATTTATTTGAGTCTAGAGAACCCAGCCATTGGCGGTGTTATTTGGATTGAGCCTAGGACTTGAAGATAAAGTGCCATATTAAAGTGAAGCGCTAGCAGATCAGACGTGAAAATGGTAAGGATATTGCTACCAGTACAGGCTGGGTCAAGTTTGCCCGCCGCTATACTAGGGGGGAATTCTAATCTAGGCATAGAGCTATCTTATATTGTTAAAGAAGCTCAAGTGATCATCAGTATAGCTTAGATTGACATACCTACTGCGTTTAGAACGTATTCGAAAAAGGGAGGGATTCTGACACAGATTGGGCCATTTGTTGCGGCTAATAGTCAAAAAACACGATAATTGATTAGCTTGAAGCTCTTCATAACATCATATACTCAAAGGGCGTCTAGGGGAGGCCCGAGAAGTGTTATATGATATTTGCCTGGTACGTAGTTTGCTGGGTCATCTGCTGGTAGAATAACGTCTTAAAGATATTATTAGCATAAGCCAGATTAACATGGATATTAGATAGCATACCTCACACCATCTCAATGCGTGAGACGGCACCGATTTATCTTGCCATGGATCCTTTTCAACGCGAACTCCATCAACTAGGAAAACAGGGGGATCATTTCGCTGGCGTGGTCCGAGACTGGCGTCTTGCCATGGATCCTTTTCAACGCGAACTCCATCAACTAGGAAAACAGGGGAATCAGTTCGCTAGCGTGGGCCGAGATCGCCAGTCTCGTATAGGTGAATGAGGGCTTCAAAGTTCACTCTAAGCTTGTCCGAAATCCGTATTTAGAACGGCTTGCAGTTGTTTCACTCGCTCTTCGGCTGAACTTGGGAAGCGGATTAGGCATGTTGATAAGCGCGGGATGTGGAGCATCCATGGATGTATAGCGATTATGTAATACATAGAGGGGGCAAAAGCGGCGAGGTCGAGCACCAAAACGGAAACGGAACGCCAAGAAGTGGCAGAGGAAATCAAGTACCTACCTAGGTACTAGGATATCAGTAAGAACAGGAACTCTGGGATATAAGAGTAGGCCTTTTACTTTCCTTGCCCTTTCTCACATACCTCTCACATACCTCTCTCTCACTTGCCTCTTACTTGCCTCTCACTTACCTCTCACTAACAACTTTACAGCCGTGCTTGCCTCGGCATCTCTCACCCGTTTCTTTTCCTTTTGAACTTCTTCTCCATCTATCTCAACAACTTTGACCCGAACATTCCACCTCTCGCTCCAATTAAGGACGATATCGTGAGACCCTTCTGGAGCAAGTCCACCTCCCCTACTCCTAGAATGGATAGCAAATTACAGCTGTCAGATGGAGGAAATTCTGCCTCAGCACGCAGCAGTTGAGATGATGCCGCACGTCTTAGGAGAAGTCAAATTCACGTCCGGGAAACAACTTCGTGGCGGCCGAGTCCTATACTGGGCTTTTATTGAACTTTCCAAACATGCCGAAAACCAATTTTTCAGACCAAACCGCATGTTCAAAATCGCTCCCTTCCTTCTTCCAGGTCAATTGTTACCAGCTCACCCTCCTATGATGATCCAAGAACACAGAGTTCTCAATGAATTCGGCTCACTCCAGGCAGGGGATTATTGTGTGAAAAACGGCCGTACTACTCGTGTTACTGCAGGTATCTGCAACGGATCAAAAGCGTACTGCAACTGGAAATTTGACGAGAGATACAACCCTAGTGGGGACCTAGTGGTCATGGCTACCGAGGCAACTGAGGAGTTTATCATTGTGACTGAGGAATCTCAGCTGGACGCCAGGTGGCGGTGGACATTTGGACTCTGATGTCAAATGTTTTTAATTTTATCTAGCGATTGCGTAAATATTTCGAATATTTCAAAATTCTTCTCTTCCACTCTCATAATGACAGCCATGATGGCATCAGTATTTACTGCCCTTACCACGGCTTGGTACATATATTCCTGTCAATTGCAATATGTACAACACCTATGTGCACATGTAGCCCTTCATATTGCTATGTACTCTGGAGACTGTAATTCTCCCCACTTTGACCCGAAGTAGTTGGGATGTAAATATTAAGGCATTAAGGCATTAAGGCAGTCAGGTGTCAAGGCACATTAGTGTCAAAGCGTCGAGGCGTCAACGCCAAGAAGAAGGCAAACCACGTGAAGCTTACGGAGTACCAGAACTGACTCGAAGCTCTTACCTTGTATTCTTACATTTCTTCTCAAATCAGCATGAGCGCTAGGGCAATACAGAGAGCCCCTCCATCGGCATCTTTCACCACTCATCTACGGCAAATCGGGAGGTCTCCAAGGCTTTCGCCATCGGCTGCAGCTCAGACAAGAGCTGATCATCGATCGTTGCATACAAGGTAAAGCCTCCAAATAATCAATTGACTGTAGCGAATCTGACGACATCTTATAGTTACAGAGCAGCCTCACTACAGCTAGGTATGTGCCCAGATACTTCTCAGAAGCCCCCGGGTCCCTCCCACGCTTATCGGCGTATCATCCCAATGGGGAAATATACCTGTCCCGCATTTTCTTTTTTCTTTCTTTTTTCTTCCTTTTCTTTTTCTTTTTTGGATTTACATGTACATGCCTGCACTTTAGTCCAACACTAATATTCAATAGCGTTGCCTTATCAATCCAAATTGGGATGTACAGCCCAATTGGCATCGGTAATTCTCATCAGAAATGGTCTATCACGACGTTCAATAACGTTGCATTTGACCCCGCCTGTGAGGAATTTCTCCACTGTGCAAGCAGTTGACTCCAAGATGAACCTAAAGTTCCCAAGTCCAGACATTCACCGGGCCTTCATTGCCCTGGGAAGCAATGTCGGAGGCAGAGTAGAAATGATTGAGCAAGCTTGTCTTGAAATGGACCGAGTTGGTATCAAAGTGAAAAGAACAAGTTCATTGTTCGAAACCGCACCGATGTATGTGCTGGATCAAGATCCATTCATCAATGGTGTATGCGAGGTATGTTAGGGAATTCCAAATTTGGTAAACAGTTGTTAATTTCCTTCAGGTGGAAACAACCCTTGAGCCTCTGGATCTTTTGGACGCTCTTCAATCCATTGAAATTCAGCTGGGCAGAAAGAAGCTCATCGATAAAGGCCCACGCTCTATTGACTTGGATATTCTACTATATGATCGGGATATCGTCTCTCACGAGCGTCTCAACATCCCACACAATCTGATGCTCGAGCGAGACTTTGTATTGCGACCTCTCAGCCAGTACGCCCCCAATGACTTTTATATATGCCATGCCGGCATACAAAAACGCGAAACTAACAATCTGAATCTAGATTAATCCCAAATGAATACCCTCCACTACCAGGAAAGGACACGCAAACATACAGCACACATCTAAAAGCTCTCCCGCCACCAGAACCGACTCCAATGTCAACAACCCCGATCTCACCACTATTCCCATCCCTGCACGCAACAGACCCCAAGCGCAGCACCCACGTCATGGCAATCCTCAACCTAACGCCAGACTCCTTCTCTGACGGCGGCAAGCACGCCCCAACAGACCTAAACTACATAACAGAAACAGTACGCAACTTCATCGCCTCCGGCGCAACAATCATCGACATCGGTGGCGAGAGTACTCGCCCCGGCTCAACACCAGTTGGCGCCACCGAAGAGATCGCCCGCGTAGTGCCAGCAATCCAACACATCCGCACCTCCATCCCTGAAGCCACCAACATCGCCATCAGCATCGACACTTACCGCGCCAGCGTAGCGGAAGCCGCCTGCGCCGCCGGCGCAGACATCGTCAACGATGTCTCAGCCGGTACTCTCGACCCAGAAATGCTGCCGACAGTAGCGCGGATCGGCAAGTCCGTGATCCTGATGCACATGCGCGGCACGCCGCAGACAATGACAACCCTGCACGAATACCCTTCCGGCGTTATCCCGGAAGTGGCTGCTGAGCTGAGCGCGCGCATTACAGCTGCTGAAGATGCCGGGATCCGGCGCTGGCGTATCATCCTTGATCCAGGCCTTGGCTTTGCGAAGATCCAGCCGCATGATCTGGAGATCTTAAGGGATTTGCCGAGGCTGCGTGCGATGCCGGGGCTTGAATGTTTCCCTTGGTTGATGGGGCCCAGTCGGAAGAGGTTCATTGGTCATATTACTGGGGTGAAGACGCCGCGGGAGCGCGTTTGGGGTACGGCTGCTACCGTTTCCGCTAGTGTTGCTGGTGGGGCGGATATTGTTCGTGTTCATGATGTCCATGAGATGTGGCAGGTGACCAAGGTTGCGGATGCGATTTATCGCGTTGAGTGAGATCGTGCTTGCTACGTTTCTTGTTATATAGCCTTGCCCGGCTGCTTTGTATATGGGGGCCTGTTTTTGTATTCAACACTTGGGTGTGGCTTGTACTATAATGTACTACTGTGTTCTCTTCATTCATCATGGAGTTTTGGCTGAGCGGTGTGGGACTGAGAGATTAGAGTTGTGCTTTTGTCGTCTATCAATAATATCAAATCATGAATTTCTCAATTATCCTAAACCATATCAACGAAATGAACAAAAAAAAGGTCCCTTCTACCATCCTGTGTTGCGGTGTAGGAATGGGAAGAAGCAAGGGAAAAAGACAAAAATCGACAATCACACGCCAGATTGCAAACCAGAATGATATGAAACCCAAGTTTTTGGCCGACTGCTAATCGCAATGGTTTTCCACATAAAGAAATATTGTCAAGGGGCGAGAGGGGCAGGCGGAGACACAATATACGTCGCGCACGAAGAAGACGGGACTGGGAGTCGTTAGGGAACAATGTTGCTTGCTAAGGTACTTGGAGTGATAGAAGGCGTAATATCTGATGAACATGGGCGACTAGCCTAGTTTAGTTGTTCAGATAGTTGCGGATAGCACCTGACGATATAAAGTCAGCAAGAAGTAGCTCCGACATGTCTAGAATTACTCACCTTGTAGCTTAGTTGCGCCTTCACCGACAAGATGCGACAGGTTCTCAATATCATCTCCAGCGGTGATACCAAAGCGGCGGATGAAATCTTTAGCAGCAACCTCCATATCACCATAACCATCGTCAAGTGAATTGACTTCATCCTCGGGCCGGCCGAAGTAGGTGTTGCTGGAAATGGATGTAGCGCTATCAAATTGACGGAGACGATCCTTGGCCTCCGACTGGGCGGCGGGATCAAACCGCTCCCGTCCAAAGAATTCATCGGACGAGATACCCTTCTGAGTGCCAAATCGGGTTCTGGTCTGGGTTAGTTCCGCTTCTGTGTCGAGTGTCAGCTTATTTTTCATCTGTTGTACGAGCAGGGAAGTTTACCATCGGCAGGGTTGGGTTTGGCAGGGCCAACAGAGCCAAAGGTTGGCTTCTTGGGGGCAGCGGGCTTCGACACCTGGCCAAAGCCAAGTCTGCTTACACCCATGCCTAGTCGCTCCACATCACCCGAGTTTCGGTCATTGGACTTGCCAGCAGGGCTGACTGGGATAGGAGAAGCGATCGGGACGGCGGCGGCAGCTGTGGCCTTCTTGGCCTCGGCTTCCGCCTGCTCAGCCTCGGGGTCGTAGCCAAGCTTTTCGACGCGCTCGGCTTCTTCTTTGGCCTTGCGCTCTGCCTCATCGAAATCAATAATATCCGCAGCGGCAACCTTTTTAGCCCCGAGCTTGGGTGCCTTCTTGGCACCGAGGACACTGCCCTTCTTCGCAGAGGTAGCTGTAGTAGAGGTCTTCCGAGTAACACTGGTGGGCCGGATAGCAGTTGGTGCGGGAGAGGCGCTCTTTTCTTCCGAAGCAGACAAGGGAGATTTCGAGCGGGATCCGTTTGAATTGGCGCCAGCGTTCAGGAAAGGAGAACCGGTCCGGCTGACAACGGGGGAGTACTGGTGCGCGATGGGGGATTGCTCGGGCGCTTGATCGAGGGCTTATCCCAGGAGGAAAAGAAATCGTCGTCGCCGTCGCCAGCAGGAGTGTTGGAGCCATCCGAGGGAGTGCCAGCGGGGATATCTGTGATGATGACTTCCCCGGGGTACCTAAATGAAGCAATAACACTGGTTAACACGTAGTCCTGCCAGTTCCACCAAGATTGTATCCACTGACTGTTGCGCATCCAGCGCGGCGCGCCTCTTGAGTTCCTCCTTATACTTGACAGCCGCATTGCACGTGTATTTGACCTTGGTGTCCTTGCTCGCCAGAGCAGCGGAACCTCCGTGCGATTGGAAATACTTGGTCGCAGACTCATTTCCGCCAACCTTCATAACCCGCAGTTGCTCCCATTGCCACTCTGCATGGAACGTCAGCGCTGATCTACCGGTATATTTCGCGTGTAAAGAGATTGTTTGGACGGTACGTACGGTCGAGGTTTGTTGATCGGACAAAGGAGATGTGCACACCGAGATTACGGTGGTGAGCCGAACAATCAAGGCATAGGTAAATACCGAATGGAACCGAAGACCACGTTGGGTTCTTAGAGCCGCAGTCGAAGCACACCTGGAAGCAAAAAACATCAGAACCGAGTGCCACAATTATGCAGCGTACGGGGTGGGGGTGTGCGCACCTTGTTCGCGGGCTTCAGTTTGGCCTTCTCAAAGATCTTTTGAGACTGCGCCTTTGTGGCACTCATGATGGTACCGAGGAGAGGTCAATGGGAAAAGAGAAAAAGAAAAAGGGGGTTTTGGGGCGAGAATGTGAGCAGGTAAGGCAAAGAGCAAAGCATCCCGAGTCAGTCGGGAACGGCGAACGTGGACTCTCTCTCGACCCGTTGCCTGTGTAATTGTCATACAACGCCTCCCATTTGGCCGGGGCACTCTCTCTCACAGACTGTATTGTAATACCGTATTATAATCACGTGCCGATTATCAAGATCGGTAGCAACCTTGCCCAAGTCGAAGATGGTCGGGTTCGGTATTCGACTCATATACTCCAACTCTATTCAAGACGCTCGGTTTTGATCATTGACAATGAGTTATATACAACTACGCGCGCTTCCCCGACTATCGCCGGCATCTCTTGTCCTCCGCCCCTCTCCCCGCATACAGACACAGATCACTCGGCTCTACGCCACGCAAAGCAACATAGGTAGCGGGCCTCGGACTATTCCGTCAAGGGAAAAAAAGCATTACAGTCTTGTCCGACGATGGGAGAGTCCAGTGGGGCGATTTAAGTCGAGGAGAGAAGGTTGCGCGAACAACGCAACAATCCTTCAACTTCGTTATCGTGTTGGCTGGAGCAGTACTGACGGTATGAAGTTCATTCATTTCATGGGGTATATAGTGAACAGTCGCTGACTATATGATCTGACTAGGGCGGAGTCTTCACACTTTTCTATCTCGAGGTTTTGTCACCAAACAGCAAGACATGGCAATTTGAAACAGCGGTAGGGCGCATTAAAGATGACCCCGAGTGTATAAAATTGCTCGGTGATCGAAGAGAGATCAAGGCATATGGCGAGCAGACCTCGAGCCGGTGGGCACGGAACAAGCCTATTGCGTAGGTTCTATGGTTTCTGCATAATACTACAAAGCCGTGATACTGACAGTGACTAGGTCATCAGCTGAAAAGGATCGACTGGGCCGTGAACACCTTCGCATGCATTTCCATGTATGATGCCTTTTCCGGTCAATGTTTGATACGTGTACTAACCGTGAATTTTAGGTCGAGGGCCCTCTCAACTCCGGCGTGGTCATTGTGCATATGATGAAGCCTTTGGATAAGAGCTATTTCGAGTATCAGCTTCTCGCGCTAGATGTGAAAGGGCACCCCCGCATCGTCCTTGAGAAAGCCTCAGAGAAGGCTAATGTGACTAGCGCCTTAAAGCTTTTTGGTATCCAGTGGCGCTGATCTGGCAATGTTGCCATCTTCTCGTTATACCCCTCCAACTCCAACCACGCTATATATGTGCTGCGCCTTCATCTGCGATGAGCATTTGAACACTCACAACCGCCGAACTTTTGTTCCTGGCGCTTGCTCCAGAGGCTGGTAACACCAGTTTTCGAAGGCGCCTCCCTTGTATTCTCTAGGACTAGGCCACCAGGTGCCCACTCAGGTTCTGATGATGACCTGCGAAATGTATCATAGTTCCATGCGATTCTAGCTTCAATGCGCTAGTCGTCCCATATTTATTTACTCAACAAACCAAATTGATCCTGGGGATCCATATCTATTGACGAATTTGCCCTATCTTTATATTCAAGGAGCAATCCTACCATGCTAGCTTGTCTATGACCTCGGGATGTATTTTTTATTGCATGATGTAGAGGTCCTGAGCCATACACATAGTAGATAGCTCTTCTCTCTCTCTCTTGTCCGTCCATCTGCTCCATGGGAATCTACGTGTATTGTTTCTCCATCTGAATCTTTATTGGCGACTTTGCTGACTCCTCGGCACCTAGTTTCGGAGTTAGTTGAGCCTCGTATGACAGTGCATTAGATCATGAATACGCACCGAGCGAAAAGTGTCTTTGGGATTTTGCGTCTACATTCTTTCTTAGATCTTAGAGCTTCCAATATATCAAGAATATATCCAAACGGATTGACTCATTCCACTATATGGATGATCTAGGCCATGGAAAGGGATCTGGGGTAAAAGGAAAAGGCAAAAGAAGAGCAAAAACATACAACAGTGAGGATTCGCCATTTAAATCAATTTCGCGTGAATCAAGAACTTCCGCAACATTTCCGCGCTCAATGGTGGGCAGTGAGCTAATTCTGGTGCGCCCACCAAATGTCTTCGGAGGTTATCTGTCTCATAGATTGGCATACTCTCATACATTTCCCATCGACAGTGGCCATCATAGACCTTTTCATCCAGCATGGGCAGCAGTGGTCGTAGCGGGTCCTTGTCATCTTGGTCTTTAAGACGTTCCAGCCACTGGTTATATGGCAATTCCTCCATAGGCACCTGGGCAGCTTCCTGCAGTGTCATGAACATCTCGGTCATCTCACTTGTGGGCTGCTGTGTCATTTCAGGAGCCAGGTTGTAAGATTGACCTACACTCTCCGTCAGCTTGGAGACGTGTAGCATAGCATTGACCATATAGTCCACAGGCATAGAATTCTTGCTTTGTCGCATCATGGTCGGGAAACATCTCATCCGAATACAGCTTCCCATCAATCGAGCAAGGAAATCACCAGTCGGACCGACACCGGTAACACTATGGCAGAACACTGCACCTGGGCGATAAACCGTGATTGGGAATCCGTCATCCCGAGCGTCAACGACCATCTTCTCAGCAACCCACTTGCTCTGTGTATATCCGTTATCATACTGCACAGATCGCATGTATTTCATAGGGTGGTCGTTCTCCCCAACACACGTGTAGCCATCAACCATACCCGTTGGGCCGTATATTGACAGGGAGGACGTGTAATGTAACCGCTTGGGTCGGCCAATTGCTTGAAAGCGGAGGATGTTGGCCGTGCCGATGACATTGGCACCGCGGTGGCTGGAGTATGGCTGTGCGTAATTCACATGAGCAGCAATATGAAAGATACATGAGGCCCAGTATGCAAGTTGCTGGAATAGTTCTTCGCCAATTCCAAATGTCTCGTTTTCCAGGTTACCAGCGAGGACTATAAGTTTGTTGTAGTCAACACCAGTCTCACGTAGTCCGTATTGCTCCTGGGCACTTAACACGCGGGCTCGAGCAGCCTTGTCATTTGAACCGCGTACGATACATACGACACAAGAGACCTCTGGCAATGTTAGGAACTTCTGGAGTGTAAAGGCACCAATCAGTCCCGTAGCTCCCGTGAGGAAGATACGACCTTCGTAAGGCAGATGCCAATGGGCTGCTGATCCAGGCTGTGGGTGTAGACCAAGAGATACGTAGTAATCGATATCTGCGCGATAGGCTCGGTTATACGCAGCGTGGATCGTGTACTTCATGCCACCAGACTCAATGTAACTGGCCATATCAGCGAATGTTGTTGCTTCGTACACCATAACTGCTGTCACATCGACTGCGAACTCGCGTTTGATACGAATAATCAACATGGCAGCTTGCAATGAGCTACCTCCGAGGCTCAAAAAGTTGTCACTATCCCTGATTTGTCCGGTGAACCCTGGCAAGAGTGAGTACCAGATCTTTCTAAGTCTCCCGGTAACGGTCTGCTCTTGGTCTCCTGTTGTCATCTGCCGTTGCTGTTCTAAAGTCGCTGCAACGAAGTCCGACGCCAACTTTTCCCGATCGACCTTCGTGTGGTCATTCAAGGGCAACATATCGCGAACTTCAATTTGAGGCACCAAGTAATCTGCAACGTTCGCTTTCAACGCCGTGATGAGCTCCTCAGCCGTGAAAGTATTTTTGTCCTTTGGGATGACGAATGCAACCAAGATTGCGCTGACTTCTTCCTCGCTCTGATCAATCTTGCAAGCTGCCACTTCAGAGACCAGGCCCGTATCGAGAATGGCAGATTCGACACCCTCGAGCTCAATGCGGAATCCGCGAATCTTAACTTGGTTATCAAATCTGCCAAGGATATAAACATGGCCATTCTTTTCTCTGCGGACCAAGTCCCCCGTTGCGTAGAAATTGCAAGATGGCGGCAAGGCCGAATAATTTGCGCTTGTGACGAACCGTTCGGCGGTCTTTTCAGGGAGGTTGACATACCCCGGGGATACACCAGCACCTCCTATGAAAAGCTCCCCAATCTCGCCTTCAGCAACTCGCTGGTGATGCTCATCGAGAATTGCAATCTTCGTATCCCCAACCAATTGCGTCAGGGGACAAATATTCCTTTCGGTATCCTCCAACGTGACTTTGTGCACTAAAGAGAAGATACAGCACTCTGTAGGTCCGTAGCAGTTCAAAATACATTTTGGCGGGCCTTGCTCTAGCACAGTCCTCATTGCTCTGAGGTTCGGCATCTCGCCACCTGTGTAGACAACGTTCATCTTAGCGAAGACCTTGGGAATTGCTAAGACGACCGTTGGAAGTAGCGAGGCAGGGACAATATTGACCGTGACTCCTAGATCGTCCCACGTTTGAGCCAATTGAAGGATGTCCTCAAGCAAAGTCCGGGGAAGAGGCAATATTGTGGCACCCCGTAGCAATGTCACCCATATCTCGAGCAACGAGATATCAAAGCTTACTAAGGCTATCTGGGCAGTTCGGTCGTGTTCACCAATCAAAATAGCGTTTTTGTCTTGTGTAAGATGGATGAGAGCTTTGGCTGTTATTTGAACCGTCTTAGGCTTTCCCGTCGACCCGGAAGTATGCATCAGATGGGTTCGATGGTCACCACCCGCCTTTGTTGTAGGAGAAGAGTGAAGGGCAGCTGCCACGGCTTGGTCTGTCGGCTGTTTGATCGTAACAGGCATCACTGTGAGATCTGGCATACGTCCAAGGTTTTCTTTGTCTGCCAGACCAAAGCGGGCACCGGCATTTGACAGGCGATATTTGATTTGGGCCTCTGGAAGGGTAGGGTCAAGGGCACAACAAGTACAACCGGCATAAATTACAGCCGCCTGGGCAACGATTTGCTCAAACCCTGAGCCTGTAATGACTCCAATTGCCTCTTCAGAGACAGGTCCCACCTTCAATAATTCACGGGATAATTGAAGAGCGTGGTAATGAAGCTGTCCGTATGTAATTGTCTGGCCTCGAACCTCGATTGCTGGGGCAGATGGGTTTTTGATCACTCTTTCGTGCAGTGATTCGGCCAGGCCTGGATAGACACGGTTGCCATTATGGAAATGGGTCGGGGTGCCCTTTACTAGGACGATGCTTTGGTTTTCGAGAAGTTCTTCACGCGTGGCTGTAGGAGGATGCATTGCGAACTTTTTTGCCAAAGGGACAATTGATGGAATGAGATTTAGGCGCCTTGCTAAGTGGAAGTCGCAACCGGGTCCGCCTTAAATAGGTTACTTAGAGAATTTGACTACGGTAAAATAGGCCTTTTCTATGGCTAAGGGAGATGATATAGTTTGAAGATGCGGCGTGGACCCCCCCTACAGACCTATCCAAGTATCCCTCGACCACCCAATCACGCGTTCTCAATCATCAATACCTATGTACTGTCCTGCATAATCCCCTCTAGTAGTAGATGTCACGCACGAAGCCTCCCATATCAGTTTTGCAGATCTCATCACTAAATTCGATCAGACTCTGCAGCCAAAGTCGGGCCGCTACAGTCATCCTTACGTGAGGTGCATGCAGGGACTGCAAGCACAAGATCCACTGAATTAAATCTGCCGAGCATGTGTTCATACTCCGCTTCGACCAATAGTCCGGGCATATTGTCCGAGGAGCGCAGCTAGAAATGTGATATGATCTCTTGTTATGACCACCGTTTGAACGGTACTTCGTCAGTGGCGCTTCTGTACTTTCTCCCCAATAAAGGGACTGCACACATGAGGAATTGTACTACAATTCCACAGAGAAGGCCATAGGAGATGTCTCAGACAACTAGCAGCCACAGTGCCTCATGAGTCATCAACTTGCCTTCTCGACACCATGAACACTAATCAAGGTTCTCCCATGTCATCTAAGAACTTCCCAAGGTTTCCCCTAAGTTCGTATGAATGGAAATATGCTCATTTTACACTGTGGACGTATGCTATAGGTGAATAAGGCAAAGAAGGAACATTAAGAGTGAAGTACCCGTGATGATTTCCCTTGGTACACAGTCTTGGTAATATCGATCTAGAACCCTTCTTTTAGACAGAAGCTAGACTGCGAATGCAGTACATGGGAAACTCCGAAATTACGGAGATACAAAAACAGCGAACAAGCCAAACCATGAATGACCCGTATCTTTTGGTCTGCATGTAGCTGGAAATGTATGTCTAAATGGTTCCACCTACAGCTCCAACAGACGTGTTTAAAGTATATCCCTACGCAGGAAAACCCATGTGATATCCCTGACACTTATAGCATTTTGTAAGTCTGGCGGTGAAGGAACATCTTTTAAGAAGCCCTTGGAGGCACCTGTAAGTCTGCTCTAGGATCTTTTGCATTCATCTTTGGTCTGACACATCCCCACGCTTGAGCAGGACTTATTGACAACCTACAGTAAGTTTCCAACAAGATTCCGGAGTTTCTATGTAATTTCCGCCTGACCTTTGTTAGAAGTTTCCAAAACACTTTGCCAATATGACTCATGAACTGGCGCCTCTTAAGACCATCACAGTGATGGGAGCTACCGGCAACCAAGGCGGTGCAGTGGTCCGTTCTTTGGTTCAGAACAAGTCTTTTAAAGTGAGAGGTATCACCAGAGATCCCTCTTCCAAAGCCTCTCAGGACCTGGTTGCATTAGGAGTTGAAGTTGTTAAGGCAGATGGATGGAAGGAGGAAGAGATTACTGCGGCCTTTGCTGGTTCTTGGGCCGCTTTCGTCAACACGAACTCTGACGATCCGGTATGACTTTCCATTTAATCTGTCTACATTGAAAATATCTCTGATTAACTTTCATCTCGGGACACAGAGATTCATGGATGCTGAAGGTCCAACCGAATTTGAGCTTGGAAAGTCTATCATCGATGGGATCATCAAGACAGCCACCGTGAAACACTTGATCTATAGCTCGGCTGTCTCCACCTCGGCCTACTCTGGAGGAGTCGTTAAAGCCAAAACAACGGAGAGTAAGTAAAATTCTCGTTTCAATGGTGTCCACTCGCATTCTGCAGACCGAACCAAACTGACACATGCCCAGTGAAATCGGAGATTGAAAGATACGCTGTCAATACTGGATATTTCGAGACTTTCTGTCCTGTGTATGCGGGCTTCTACATGGAGCTATTTGCTAGCAAGGACATGGCTCGGGTCTTCGGAGGATTCCCCTTTTTCCCCGATGAAAATGGTGTTACTACCCTCTGTACTCCACGATGGGGCACCAAGAAAGATATGCCGGCTGGTTGGATAGCCGTAAATGAGGATTTCGGGGACATTGTGCACGGTGTGCTTACCGAGCCAGAGAAGTACCACAAGAAGGGAGTGGAAGCGTTGAGCGACGCTTGCTCGTTCCCAGATGTGGCGAGCTGTTTCCAATCTGGTGTGTCATATCTCATCCCAACATATCTCTTATTCGACCCTTGTATAGCTAATCTAATCAACTCTATCTCTGCAGTCACTGGAAAAAAGACGCAATACATTTGCTACCCCTCTTGTGAGACCTATGGGACCGAGATTGAGCGTGAGCATCCAGCTGGGCTTCCATCCCTCGAGGATACGCGGAGTCTGTTCCGTTTTGGTCAGCTGTCGAATGCAAAGTATTTCGGTGATTTGCCCACGGATACAGCTGTTCCTGCTCGTCTCAAGGCACGAGCATTCGAAGCTATGGGCAAGGATCCCAAAGAGGCCAAGCTCTTTACAATGAAGCAGTGGTTTGAGAATAACTTCCAGATTCACAAATAGCCTTGTGCAACGCGTGGCACCTCTGTCAAGCAAAGCTTTCGTGAATATCAGGGCTAGTATACGAATTTGTTTTGGATCTTGGATAATCACATCCTCAGTAACTTCCATTTGCGTATCTCGTCACGAGTTACGGTAGTGTAAAGCTAGTAACCCTAACTTCATGGATTCGGGGTATCTATTTCGTGGATCATATAGTCCGAATATTGTCAAAATAATTGCCGATAAAGTATATAGAAGTCTCAATGTGACGGTACCTTTATCGCAACAATATCGGGGGAGAGCTGTCCTCGCGAAGTGACTAAACAACTCATTCGATGAAAGGACTAATTCTTCGTGCAAAGACTAGGCTTACGTTCATGCATCCGGTCTGAACTTTCGAACAGTTATTACACAGCATTAAACAACATCAATGTATCAACTATTATATTACTCCGGTCTTAATAATGACTATATTGTACTGATAAAGTAAAGAAAAGCAATAATACACTGCTTACAATACAAACAGCACACTTGCTGTTGAAAAATGGCCTACAGCGCTACCTCTTCCGCATCTTCAGATACTCCTTGCTGGAACCTGAGAGTTATATGGCCACCTATTTCATGATGAACTTGATTTTTGCTTTCGATACATCAGATGCATAAACAGTGATTTATCCTCACAGCAGTGTTACGTGGTGTTGTCTCACACGACAAAAGCAATGGTTACGCGAGGAACATGCTAAACTGAAGCCACATATGTTGTCTGATAATGCCATATCCAATCGGTCATAATGTGATTCAGCAACAATCTTGCTATCCGGATCCCTGTCAGTGGTCTTCAAAGCCAGTCCTCTATATAAGTGGGTTAATGAGCCGCCCAATTGATTATAACTACAAGACTTGATTATCCAAATTGACAACCTGGCCAATTAATCCAATAAGATGTCTCAAGGTATAACCTGTTCGCCCTATTCCGCTGGGTTCAGATTTGAGTGTTAATTTTTGCTTGGTTATAAAGCACAAACTGCACACCAGGACGTAGGTCATTCACTTTTTACGGCAAAACAAAATCATTAACATTAACATTTGCTAGGGAGATGAGAGATACAACGGTATGTGGAAAGAAAACTTGATCATGATATTTTAAGTCTGGGGAATCACCTCGGCGTTGAACGAGGTTCTGATCGAAAGCAAAATACAGAGCTCGCTCACAAGGTGTTTCTAATCTTGAATGAAGGACAACTTCATCGGGCGCCTTTGGTGGAGCCGAAAGTTGCACTTGATTTGGGATGTGGCTCAGGCATCTGGGCTCTGGAATTCGGTAATCCTTGAATTCCCTGTCTTTCTTCTGTTTGATTTACGCTGATTTGTATCAGCCAAAGCATACCCATCTTGCCAGGTAGGTATTCCTAAAAAGCGCAGGAACCTATAGTGCACTCAGGTCTTTTTCTGACTTTTCAAAGGTGTTGGGAATCGATATTAACCCAGGATCGGGGGACCAGTGGGTCAGCTACATGCCACTATTATACACTATACTGATTTAGACAGAAATCCTACAAACTTCAAGTTTGTTCAAGGTGACATAGAGAAGGCCTGGGACTGGCTTCCTGCCAGACCAGTTGACTTCTTGACTATACGCGGCCTCTTTGGGATTCTTGATAACTGGACTGAACTTTTCCGCAAGGCAATGAGGTACTTGTTCTTTATCCAAAACAAAAAGACTTCAACACAGACCAGCTAAAATTATATCGCATAGCTGCCTCGCACCTGGAGGCTGGATTGAAGTTGCCGATGTATGCTATATGACAACCAGTGACGACGGATCTCTGGATAACGCCAAAGGACTTCTTCGCTTCGACGCCATGTACAGAAAGGCCTTGAATCAGATGAATCCAAACCTTGGAACCCTTTCATCTCTTTATGAAAAGATGGTCGATGCTGGTTTCCAAAGCTGCGCAGTCACGAAGCGAAAGATACCGGTTTCCGACATGTCGACTGACCCAGAGCTGAACGAAATCTCGAAGTATTCTCTGGAGATTCATGAGATGGATACAGCTATCATTTCCGAACGAGCCTTGCAACCAATTCTGAATCTTTCTACAAAAGAAGTAGAGACTGTGCTTGCAGATGCACTGCGCGATATGCGTAACAAAAATATCCACGCCTACAGATATGGGTGAGTTATTCAGTTATCCATTCGTGTTCATGTCACTCAGAAGCTAAATTCGGAAAAATCAAATCACAGCTATGTCTTTTGCGCCCAGAAGCCATTGGAATCATAACATGTCCGGAATATGGAACCCGTGGGAGATGCACACTGGTACTAGCTAAAATGGTGGACGTTTGCTTTTTTTTTTTCTAGTTTAACCAAATACAATCAATATTGACTCTATGCATACCTACAAAGTAGAGCAGGTTCAGGTATATGGGCTTGAGAAATACCTATTTACACAGCTTTATTCTAATAGTGACAGCGGGAGGGTGATTAAAAATGGATCTGTAATCCGCAGTTTCTCTTTGGTGAGGGCAACTAAGTCCTTCTCTACATAAAAATCTACACATAAACACATGATCGTCAAGAACAAATCCCAGTCCATCGCCAAAATTATACAACTCTGGGCCCATCAATAATGCTCTTAGCCTCCTCGGATCTCCACCAACTCTTTCCCTCCTGGCCGGGGTACTCGAAAGCATCCATACTCTCAGCCTTCATCTCAACACTGTACCCAGGCTCCAAGGGGGTAGCATAGTAACCATCCTTGACACTGGATGGGTGAACGAAGTGCTCGTGGAGGTGATCTACATACTCGAGGACACTCTTCTTGCCAGTAACAACAACATAATCGATCGTGCTCAGGTGCTGAGTGTACTCTGGTAGACCAACACCACCCGAGTGCGGCACGATAGGCACGCCGAACTTGCGTGCCAGCAAAAGAATAGCCAAAACCTCGTTCACACCACCGACACGACAGGCATCGGGCTGCAGTACAGTCAAGGCACCAGCTTGCAGCAGCTGCTTGAAGATAACGCGGTTCTGACACATCTCGCCAGTGGCGACGCCCACGGGACCGTGAGGGGTGTTGGCAAGGGCCTTGCGGATGGCAGCGTGACCAAGGATATCATCGGGGGAGGTAGGCTCTTCGATAAACCAGGGCTTGAACTCTGCGAGCTCTTGCATCCAGGTAATAGCCTCGGGGACGGACCAGACCTAATAATTTCCGCAATGTTAGTCCAAGTCTAAACTGTAACAGAATCAATTCCAGAGAGGGAGGAAGAACGTACCTGGTTGGCATCAACCATCAAAATATTACCCTTGTCATACCCAATAGCCTCACGTGCAATACGCAAGCGCATCTTGTCATCTTCTAAATCTCCTCCAACCTTAAGCTTGAAATGCTTATATCCCTGCTGGACACTCTGCTCCAACAACGACTTGAGCTTATCCTTGCCGTACCCCAACCATCCGGCACTGGTGGTATAAGCAGGAACAGCCTGGCTAGCCTCAGCCTCCTTAATACGTTCCTGCTTACCAGACTCAACCTCCTTCAGCAGACTAATGGCCTCCTCGGGCGTGATGGCATCAGTGATGTAACGGAAATCAATGCAACGCACGAACTCCTCGGGGGACATGTCCGCAACTATGCGCCAGACGGGCTTGCCGAGGGTCTTAGCCCACAGATCCCATAGGGCGTTGACGACAGCACCAAGGGCGAGGTGAATCACACCCTTTTCGGGGACCGATCCAGCGAAGCTGGCTGTCAGAGACGAGGTACCGCCAGGTCTTGCCCCAGTCTGCGGTCATCTCGTCCAGATCCTTGCCAACGACCATTGGGGCGAGCAGGGAGATTGCTGCACAGACAATTTCGTTGCCGCGGCCGATTGTGAAGGTCTATAGGGGCTTGGGTTAATTGGAGTGTTGCGGGTGGTTGATGTGATGTGACGTACCATGCCATGTCCGGAGTGTTCTGAGTCGGTGGTGATGATGCAGTAGGCGGAGGAGTAGTCACCTGCTGCGTTCATAGCATCTGAACCGGTCTTATCAAGTGATGTCTATGGGTGGCTTGTCAGTATTGAGTGCATTGGGCGTGCGGAAATGCTCCGGGGACAGGATTGACGTACCGGGAACCTCACGTCCCGCGTGGTGAAGCCAGTGATTTTGACCATTGTGAATATTTGTTACTTGTGATGGTAGAGATAGGTTTTGCTTCTGTCAATGGCTAGTAATATTGCTGGCGCAAGTCAGTTCTAGAGAAACAATATGGTTAATCTAGAAATGCGGGGTGTATATATATCCGGGGCATAGAGTCGGAAGGCAATTTCACCCTTTTTTAGCTGCCCAAAAATGCAAGGAAGAGTAGAAGACGAGGGATATCAGAGAGAAAGGATTTCAAAAACCGAAAGAGATTCCACTCTGTATATACACCAAATATATTCCCCCCCGCGCCATCTCCAGTTTATCCCGCGCCCCTCCCTCTTCCTCTGTCATTTGCCGTAGACGCATTCTCATTGACGGAGAATTACAAATGCCGGGAAAATTTGCTATTCCACCAATCACAGGACTGGTACTATACTCGGAGCTGCTCCGTGATTTACCCCAAGGTACGTGGGGAGGTTGCATCTACACGTAGACTATGTTGTAGACTATGTTGTAGAGGTCCTGTTGGAAAAAGTCCCCGAGGGTATGCGATTTCAGAAGGATCAAAATCATACCATACATACAAACAGCTATTCATTTGTATACAAGTTGTGTGAAACTCAGAGACATCAGGTACAGGGTCCGGTCTTTGATATGCAGCCCTATTACGAGGACAGGCCTCGTTTCTCACTCTCGGAAAAGAAAATGATCATCCGCCAAAGTTTGCGAACAAGGACTTCGGCCTCTTCATCCAATGCCTATAGATAGGTGAGTGCGGTTAGTAACTTGTTTTCCAAAGAACAGGAATGAATGAATACTCACTTCGGCCAGCTGCTCCACCAACTCTTGAGGCGATCCATGCTTTCGCACATGTTCCTCCACCACATCCACCAGCATTTGTTCCTGTACACCAAGATATTCGACGATCTTCTTCTCGACAAAAGGCTTGAGCTGGTCGCTGATGACGGTATCATCCACAAATTCCCACTTGACTGTCCAGTTCCACAATCCTTCCTTCTCGGCCGGAATCTCTGCAGCGAGTTGACGGGCCGCCTGAGCACGTTCCTCGTCGGTGAGACCTGCAGCTTCGGCCGCGGAATCGAATTTGATCGGAATAAGTGGCCGACGGGTTGCAGTAACGGGCTCTTCCTCGTCCTCCAGCAGACCTTCCACATCGGCCATTGCGCGACGGCTGGTCGCGGCCTGGGCCTTCTGCGCGGCGGCTCCAAGAGAGAGCTTGAAGCGTTGGGGTTCGCGTGGTGCTTCCTGGGGACGGGTTTCGAGCTCCTTTGCTTGGCGAGCGAGGAAGTCGTCGGCCATGCCGCGAGCCTGCTCTTGCTGCTTGGCAGATTGCGCAAGTTCGCGATCCTCAGCGGCGCGATCGGCATCGTCAATGTTAGTTTCACGTGAACGGAAGCTTGCACGGTTGCGGAGCCAGACACCGCGGTCTGCGTAGTAATCGACCGCCTTTCGGCCGTCCTCGACATCATCGTTCCAAGCCCCAAGTCGTGCTTCCATCTCATCGTGTGCAGCTTGCAACTTTCCATCTTCCTCATCCTCACGCTTTTTCTCTCTCTCCAGGGCAGCAGTTCGGCTGCGCTCACGGCTAAGCCAGCGACGCTCTTGGTCTGAGAATTGCTTCTCCTGCTCAGCCTTAACCCGATCCTGTCGACGGCGTTCGATTTCCTCGTCGCTGGCATCGGAATCCTCGCCTTCGCGATCAATGGAGACTCCGTTGAGGGATCCACCATTGACAAAAGCAACTCCCTTCTGATAATCCTTGGGAATCTGCACACCGAACGCCTTCGGACCAGAAGGTGCGTTCAACACATTGCGATCCCGTGGGCCCAACGGAATACCGTTGATACCGGCAGCAGGGCCACTGGGAGCGGATAAGGGGGGCGAAGCAAGTCGATTAATCCGAGAACCAGAACTGCGTGCACGTTCCATCGCCTCAATCTCTTCCTCGCGTTTCATACGCTCCATGTCGCGGCGAGTGCTTCGTTCACGGAAAGCCGAGATCTCCTTGGCCACATTGGCGCGCATCTCTGGGGGAATATCCGCTAGCTCATCTTCAATTGTGATGGGAATAGTGACTACTTCGCCATCCTTCGCAAGCTCGGCATCCTTCATTTCACTGTCGCCTTCCCGATCAAGAGCAGATGCCTCCTCCTTTGGAAGGGGGGCTGCGGGATGGAAGAGGCTTGACAAGACATTATCCAGATTGTTGCGAGCAGCGGTGAAACGTGCCTGGCGTTCCTCTGGGTCTTGTTCGGCTCGGCTAGACTCGAATTGCTCTAGGTAGGTGAGGGTGCCTTCATCGACGATGACCTATCATACAAGTTAGAATGATTTGAGGAAATGGTAGACAAATTATACGCACCAGAAGCATGCTCTTTTCAACCTCTTTTTCCTCATCACCTTCGGCGCGGGGTGTCTGCCTCTTGACTGGCACTTCCACGTTCTTCAAGGTCTCAACCGCAACCTCAAGACTCTCCGGGTCATCATACTCGGCGAATCCAAATCGGCAAGGTTTCTCATCAGCATCCGTCGCGCGAATCCAGCGACGCAAGATACCAGTAGACCGTAGAATACGCTCAATGCCATCATCGCCACCCGCGCCCTCTGTAATTCCGCCGATAAAAAGCGTGCGCACAATCTCATCGCGTGTAGGTGGTTGGAGTTGCATCATAGAATCACGAGCATGATGGCGCTGGGTATCCATTCCCATTGACCCCAGACCACCGCGGCGCCCAGGAGCGTCGGATCCTCGTTCCCGACCACTCTCTTGAGCTGCAGGCTTTGTGGGACCCGCGGTACCCAAGCGAATCACTGGCGCAGAAAAATTGATGTTTGGCATATTCGCAGGCGGCTGGAAGTTGGGCGGGAAGCTTCCTGGACGACCAGGCTGGGTATTTGCTTGCTGCATGCCGGGAGGAGCAGCAGTGCCTGGAGCAGCCATCCCTGGAGGAGGTGCTGGAGCTAGTCAGCCTAAATTGAAAATGAAACTATTGTGGGAAAGGAGCGAACTCACCCATTCCTGGA